ATAGGAAGCTAACACGGAATGAAAGGGGGGACCCAGAAGCCCCACTAATACCCATACATGATCTTTGTTAAATTATATTATGAATAGTGAAAGATTAAAAAGATATATCAGACGTAGTTTCTGGGCCTATTTCATAGATCTCTTCCAAACCCATTGGTGAGATCTTAATATACCAAGTGTGTGACTCTTAGTTAGGCAACGGGGGGAATGCAGGGAAGGAATACCAGCACCAATCCTATATCCAGCCATCAGGCCAACAATACAATAAAAGCAGAATTACAAGGCAAAGAGCTACCATCCATCAGCTTGTTGGACGGGGCATGTGCCTTAACAATGGCTGCCCTTCCAGCATGGGAGGACACAAAATAACTATATCACAGTAGATTTATAAATCAATAAGGCAGACCAAAGAAGAGAAAGAAACAAAGAAAACACAAAAAGCACATTATGTGTGACCGTAAACGAGTAGCAGATCCAAACTACATATCCTACCAGTTCTCTCACTCTAATCATGAGACGAAGTCTAGAATCTTTCCAACATTTCCTCCTTCCTACTATGTCACCCACATTAGGAGGTGATATAAATCAAACAGGATAAGGAAAGTGAATGTGTGAGCTCCGCAAGGTCTAACCAGGGAGGTTGTGTTTACCCTATCAGTGTATGACTATAGTTGTAGAGCACTGTGAGTGCCTTCACACTTATGTGTTTTCAATATTTGTCTTTATTCTGTGTACGAAGTACTATGTGAGGTCAGCAGCGGGTTTCCACAGCTCTTTTTGCCATCAAGTTCAGCCTACCTCACATTTGATTTTTGCTGTTGATCCAAAAGAAGGCAAAAAAAAACCAGTTTGAAGCACAATTTTGCAACAAGCTAGGAAAAAAAATCCTTCTTGACCCCAGAATGGCAGTCAGATTTATCCTTGGATCAAGCAGTTATTACCCTACATTGAAAGATTATATCCTTGAATATTCTGTTCTTGCAAGTATGCATCTAGTAGCCGTTTGAACATCTGTATGGACTCTGATAAAACCACTTCTTCAGGCAGAGAATTCCACATCCTGATTGTTCTTACAGTAAAAAAACCTTTCCTTTGCCTTAGACGAAATCTTCTTTCTTCCAGTCTAAACGCATGGCCTCGTGTCCTATGTAAAGTCCGGTTTGTGAATAGATTTCCACACAATGGTTTGTATTGGCCCCGAATATATTTGTATAATGTTATCATATCCCCTCTCAGGCGACGTTTTTCTAAACTAAATAGGTTTAAATTTGTTAGCCTTGGTCCTTTGTTAAAGTTGGTCCTGGAATACCTGTAGAGGTTCCTCTTTGTAGGTGTAATGGTTTGGGATGAATGGGCTCAGTATGCAAAGAGAGAGCAGAGGAACTGTCACTTTAAGAGAGAGTCTCTGAAAGTCAGAATGCATAAGGATAATCCAAAGGCAGGATCAGGAAAGCAATGGTGAAGCCAGGCAGCAAAGATCAGAAAGAGGCTTAAAGTTTATAAACAGGACAATCCATAGGCAGGGTTAGGCAGGCAAGGATCACAACCAGGTAGCAAAGGTCCAGGATCAGAAAGTAGACTTAAAGTCTATAAACAGCACAATACTGATAGTAGAGACTTGTAACATCTAGTGAGCTCACAAAACATCTGAGCATTGAGCCTTAAGTGGACAAGGTTTAAATAGAAGAGTGGGAGAGGGAGCACACCCATGGGGAGGAATCCTGAGGTCTATAGAATGAAAACGGCTTCCCCCTGGTTTGTAGGCACACACGCTGCATCCATGGCCATGTCGGACCCTCCTTCCACCTTGCTGTTCTGCATGCTGCTGCTCTGAGGTCTGGGCTGAGCCACCGAGGGCGCCAACGTTCAGAGGAGAATTCAGGGCAGTGCATGGGATGCCTTGCAGAATGCCACATGCCTGCAAGAGTGGAGATTGGTGGGATGGTGTACCGCTTACTCCTGGTGCCCTGTGACACACGTGTAGTGCCTGCAGGATTCGATGGTCAATGAGTAAGCACTGCGTGCCTCATGCTCCTGGCGTGCCATGACAGTAGGTAAATTCTTCTTAAATATAGCCTCTTTGGTGCCAAAATATTAAAATCAAACAATTATGTCACTTGGCTGCTCCTCTTCTGCTCTCCAGGCTCTCAGGGCTCTGTGGACCCTATTGATTATCCATCTGTTTTCTGAGATGTCCGAAAGTAAAGGTCAGAAGATGTCAAGAATTGTGTTCTGCATTGAGCCTTGTCCTTGTCCAAACCTATAATTCACAGGTAATTTCGTCACGACCAGTTAGAAATATCTTCAACTAGGTCCTCCACCTCCGCCATCCTAATCTGAATATTATTTGTCCAGTCAGCCACTGCGTTATGTGCTGTCACAACCTCCTCCATACGCTGCTCAAGCTCCACGGTTCTGTGTCTGAAGGACTGTATCTCTGCCTTCACCCTTCTTGTGTTGCTGTATATTTGGTGTTTCGGTCACTCACATGGAAAAGGATTGTGGCAGTGTCCACAGAGCACTCTTGCAGACCCTCATATTCATAGCCATAATCAAGGCCTCTGATATTGCCTGCGCGCCATCTTGGTCAGGATGTTGCAGCTGGCACTGAGAAGAAAAGAGATTTGTGACCGAGGTCTCTCGTGCCTTCTGTCTCCTCTGTTGGGAAAACATTAATGGATTTCAGGTGCCTTTTGTAGGGTATGTGGAGCGGAGCTAAGCACTCACGCGTCCATTCACCACAATTTCGAGACCACGTCCCTTAGTGTGGTTTTTTTTTTGTGTTTTTTTTTTTACTGAAACCATGTCTTTACCATTCACTTTACTGTGTATTGTGTAGGTTTTTAGAATACAGGGGCTTTTCTTAAAAAATAAAGATGGAAAGAAACACTAGATGGGGCTATAACCTCAAACTTTGGTGCTTAGAGTGTTTTATTAAGTATTCATTTGTGTATTGAAGAGTATTTTGTGCATAATGAAACGAGGTGCTTATGAATACCAGCCATACAACCATGGGGGAAACTTTTTTCATGTTTTATTCTTTATAAATTAAAGATTCAAGCCATTCCGTTCAAAACAATTAAAACATACTGGTCAAGTTAGGGCTGTCATTATGGATCCTTTGTTCCTAGAAACAGATAAGATCATTTGTATAAATGTGTGCCAAAATGATAAATAAAATACCACATAGTACAGCTTCAGCTTTTAGTGTATTATATTTATACTAGGCCCAAGAAATCTGTTTCTATAATGTAGCCAATCCAATTCTTATTTTTTTTTTTAATTATTTAAAATGTTTCTTTATTTTTGCGGTGCATGTGAATTCATGCTTGTAATGCCCCCAACAGCAAATGGTTAGCAAGTCAAGATACAAAGGTTATGAGTTGAAGAAATGTAGAGAAACATACACTTTGTTTAAGAACTATAGTAGCAAGCATAATACGTCAATAGATGGGTAACCATAAGCAGTATATAAATCAGGCTATGCAAACTAACAGTATGATTAGTCATAATGATACAGTATAACATCATTTCAGACATATAGCTAAGATGGGTAAACTGTAATGCCCAGGTCGGATGGAAGGAACATAACGTATAAAAACATTGAGTAGACTATGCACCCCTGCGATGACCATGTATCAGATTATCTCAGCCGTGGAGGCGGAGGCAGCCACGGTAAAACCAGAGTGGCGATCGAAAAAAGGTGAGTAAAAAAAACCTTTGTGCTGAAATCTGAACGGGGGCCTGTCACCTAAACAGTCACATCAAAACTATAGTGTGACAAATACATGTTTGTATTCCTGACACTTTTATAAGTCAGTTATGCTATTAGTTTTTCTACTTTGAAGTATGTATGGAACTGCACTCACTCCCATCAGTCAGAGCCAGGGTGCTTACTGTACCTGGAATCAAATACCAGATTCTCAGAACAATTAAATAAAATAAAAGGGGGTCCAGGCACTCCTTGGTTCAATACAGGCACTTTATTGGAACCACAGCAACGTTTCGAGCTTGACAAAGACCTCACGGTCGAAGCGTTGCTGAGCTTGACAAAGACCTCACACTCGAAGCGTTGCTGAGCTTGACAAAGACTTTACGGCCGAAACGTTGCTGAGCTTGACAAAGACCTCACGGTCGAAACGTTGCTGAGCTTGACAAAGACCTCACGGTCGAAACGTTGCTGAGCTTGACAAAGACCTCACGGTCGAAGCGTTGCTGTGGTTCCAATAAAGTGCCTGTATTGAACCAAGGAGTGCCTGGACCCCCTTTTATTTTATTTCTTTAGTTTTTCTACTGTGACCGTAAATTTGAAATTCACAGTAAAATTTTCACTTTACTAAATAACTCTGGTTTTGGCCACCTTACCCCATCTTTATAAAATTATCATAACTGATAAAAAATGTTCAAAAAATTGTGACTCATCTACTCATCTTCTTAAACTATGCTCCTATCAGAAAGCTCCTGCAATAAAGTTGAATATTGACCTATGCTAAAAAAAAATGCATTTATTTGTGATCAATATTCCACTTATACAAATATTTCACACTGGACTATCAAAAAAAAATCTATTGTGCAATACAAGGGGGGAGGGGGGGCATACTTGTATTTATTTATTTATTACTGAATTAGAACATAAACACAGTGTTTCAGTTGCTTTTTTTTATTGACTTTGTATCCATGGAAACCATTATCAACTCTTTATGCAAAATGACAAAAAAAAAAAGAAGAAATCGACACTGTGAATGCCGTTTTGTTTTGTTGTTTTTTTTATAATAAAGTTCATCGATCAAAAAAAAAAAGAAGGCGAAAAAAAAAAAAAGCCTCATGTCTTTTTTTTTTGTTTTTTTGCGATGTTATTTTTCCCCACCCTCCCTCTTTGCTGATTGGCTTAGCTGCACGTCAGCTGTTTCCCCTGGAGGAGGAGGGGGCGTGGCTAACTCCCAGGCTGTAGCTAGCCTGTTGTGAATGCTGGGTGACCGTGACAGTCACTGTGAGGGAGGCTGAGAGTGAAGTGTCACCTGCAAGGCCGACTCCAGGGGTTTCCTAGGTGGCAGCAGGGGGGAGCACCAGGGGGCAGGTAACTCCTAGTGACCCAGTCCAGGGATATCCATACACCCAGCCAGTCCCAGTGACACAGTCACACACTTATAACTAAATATTCCAAATTTACAGGAATTTGCCCCAAAGTTAGACCCTGTCCACGTGTGTCCCATTAATTCCCAGATATTCAGGTCAGCATGAAGTTATCTGCTGGCATTTGTCTTCCTGTTGGGCCATGTAGTATACACAGGGATGTGTTCTGGCATTTAAACTCATATATTTTTAATGAATATCTAATCTAGGCATCCAGAGTGTGTGTGTGCGCTTAAGGCACCCAGTCTATAGAATGGAAATACACATATTTGCATTTATGCGGATTTGTTTTTGCGTTGTATGTGTCTATTGACATATATATTCAAATATTTGTGGTCCGGTGATTTAGTACAGTGAAGTTTAGTTTGGGTTAGAAGACATATAGACACTTTTTTTTTGCACATAGCTGCCTATAGGTACACCATGGTCCAAGTTTGTCCGTCCCCTGTAACCCGCTCCGCGGTTCTGAAGCGGGTAGCCGCACTGGTGGTGGCAGCCTACGGAGCACGCCGGCTTTACCCGGTGCTAAGACACTTTTGCTTTCAGCTGGGCAGGCAGCCGAAGTCGAATGGGCTACTGGGAGAAAAAAAAGACTCCTCTTCGGGTCCGGCACCCACTTACGAAAGGACTGGGGTGAACAGGGTTTTCTTCAGAAGGCTAGCCCGTCTTCTTCGTCTGCTTTTTCCAAAGTTGGCATGCAAAGAGTTTGGACTACTGCTATTGCATTCAGCAGCCCTCATCTCTAGGACATTCCTTTCGGTCTACGTGGCCAAGCTAGATGGACGTCTAACCCGTTGCATTGTAAAGAAACGCCCAGCCAGCTTTGTGTGGCAACTTCTTAAATGGCTTTTTATTGCCCTGCCCGCTACTTTCATCAACAGTGCCATCCGCTACCTTGAAGGACAGTTGAGTTTAGCTTTCCGTAGCCGCCTGGTGGCCCATGCATATGACTTATATTTTGGTAATCAAACATATTATAGAGTCAGCAACATGGATGGAAGGTTACGTAATCCTGATCAGTCACTAACTGAGGATGTAGTAGCGTTTGCCAGTTCAGTAGCCCATCTTTACTCCAACTTGACCAAGCCTGTGCTGGATGTGGTGGTGACCACTTACACGTTAATCAGTACTGCCAAGTCCAAAGGTGCCAACACTGGCTGGCCTGCTCTTATTGCTGGATTTGTTGTCATTATTACAGCAAAAGTGCTGAGAGGCTGTTCTCCTAAATTTGGAAAATTAGTAGCAGAGGAGGCCAGACGAAAAGGAGAGCTGCGGTACATGCACTCAAGAGTGGTCGCCAACTCAGAAGAAATTGCTTTCTATGGAGGTCACAAGGTGAGATGATGAATGTCACGGATGGGTACTTATCACTATGTCTTGTTTGCAATGGCATCCACAAGCTCTGAATGGCTGTTAATGGTAATTCACTAAGTTGTGGTCTGAATGGAGTTGATAAACATATTTGCAAGTCTTTTTATTCAGGTTATCCAATGATAAACTACTAAATTTAAGCTGAAACTTTTGGTTGTTATGACAAAGATGGGGTAATTTTTTCATATTTGCTTGTTTGATCTGTATTTTGCCAAAATGTATTCCCTAAACTGTAGTTTTGCGGTGAATTGACAACCAAATTGCAAAAAGGCAGGCTAAAATAATTAATTTTTTTAAAAATTCTTTAACTCTGCTATAATCACAGCTTAGTTGTTTTGGCCTGAAATTGCAATTCAGTTTTGGATTTGCCCCATTTCTCTATTTAGGGACTAAACCTTTAAAGGAACACTCAACACACAAAGTTTTATGTGTGAGGAGCATTGCTTCTTTTTTTATAAAAATGGTGATTTCTATTTGAAATAGGCACTTTTATAACTGATTTCAGAAACAATTCCGTGGCTGTTAAGACAGATGGAGGTTTTCCTCCCAATTCCAAGGCAGGCTCACTATGCTTAAAGGGACACAACTCCCATCACCCTTAACCATGAGCATATAATTATTGCAGTTTTTATGAACTGCAATTATTACCTTGCAGGGTTAAGTCCTCCTCTAGTGACTGTCTACCAGACAGCCACTAGAGGGACTTCCGGATTCTTAGGCGACCTTTGGTCGTCTAAACGACGCTGGACGTCCTCAAGCTATGCATGAGGACTTCCAGCGTCGCCGGAATCTCCATAGGAAAAAATTGAATAATGCCCTATGGGGAGATCCTAATGCGAGCGTGCCATTGTTGGCAGGGGAGGAGCATGGGCGGAGCTGAGGGACATTGGCGCTGGGCCCACGTAAGTGACTGAAGGGGTTATTAACCTCTTCAGCGCCACAGGAGTGGGCCTTGACAAACTGGGAAGCTACAGTGCCAGGAAAAAGAGTTTGTTTTCGTGGCATTATAGTTTTCCTTTAATTGCGCCTGCCTTCTTCCCCAAGTAAAACTGTGCCTTTCGGCATGTGCTTGCGCCTCAGAACCTGGAGAGCACGTTTGTGGTAGCTTATGGCTCAAATTCAGAGGCTTTTCAATGAGTAGTCTCTGGTCGCAAGAAAGGGAGGACTTGCAAAGGCTGCAGACAAGAGATCTTAAGCTTTTTGCAAGTCGTTTTTAGACATTCCAATTAAAAATGTAGCAAATAATGTGTTCATATTTTCATTGGGGGATATGTCTAGTAATATGTTACAAATTTCTCAATTGGTGTGTTCCTTTAAGGGAATAAACCCCACATGGTTAGTAATGAAACAACACTTTTAAATGTGATATCCACATATCCAAGATGGAATATTTGTTCTGCTGTAAAAAAATTTAATTTGGTTTATTTTGACCTAAATTGAATTCCCTCTTTGATTTGACAGTTTACAGCTTGACAAATAATTCTGGTTGTCCATAGGTGAGAGCCTTCTGCCAGCCTGGATAGCAGAGAGGACCAATTGCTCATGGTACCCTTCATGAGGTTAGCCACATACCTCCCAACATTGGGAGGAAGGAAATTGGGAAAGGGATGAGTGGGCAGGCATATAGGGGGAGTGCTATTGGTGCCCATAGGAGAGCACTTCTCAGAATGGTGAATGTCCCCTCTGAAAGTGTGGTCTGTCGGCCTGGTGTAAATGCCTTCTTGGCTGACTGGCTATCACCTTTGCTAGCCTCACAGAAGTGATTATGGTGCCCAGAGTCTTTATTTAAGCACCTCTTTAAACAGCTCATTATTTTTCTTTAAAAAAATATGCTGCCATTTAACTTTTATAGGATCTTCACTATAGTTTTTTTTTTTATTTTTATATAACTTCCATTGTGTCGGCCAATTGCTGATCCCTAAAGGAATGCTCCAAACACATAAGGCACTTCAGCTTGTTGAATTGCTTTATGTGTAAAGAGTATGTCCTATTTTTTTTATTTTTAAAGTTATAAAAGTAGAGACTTCAATAGAAATCTGCACTTTTATACAGGAATCTTGTTAAACCTACAATGCTGTCAATCAGACAGCCGATCCTTTTTCTTCCTCTTAGTTTAGCTGCAAGGCAAGAAGGATGGGTTCAACAGCAGAATAGATCTAGAGCTGCAATTGCTGAAAATATATTCATTAGGGTATATCTACTTTAATCATAATTTTTGTTTTATGGAGTATTCCTTTAAAATTCCACTGCTCTTCCAAAATGTGAGGTTTAAAAATTCCTAACTACCCCTGCTTTGAGAATGTAATTTCTATTGATTTTAAATTCCAATGAAATGTGTAGACCCAGATATTTTAAATTAATCCCATTTTAGAGAACAAGCCTAATTGCAAGGTAGTAAATAATATTTTTTAAATAAACATGGCATAATGTGAATATTGTGTATTTAACGAGGAGTGTATGAACATTTGATCTGAAATAGAAAAGTAACAAAATGAAAATATAATACATGCTGACACGCATGGATATACAGAGAGGACACACTCTACATCTGAAAAACAAATGGAATATACATAGTGCTTTCCATACAGTAAAATATAAGTAGTCTATAATATATGAGGAATGAACTCACAAAGATGGAGCCTCATAGGCTCTATGTACATCACCCTTGGGTGCCTGTCCAGGCTCTCGATAAGCTTCTTATGAAGAACTTGGGGTCCACGAATAAGAGTATAAATACAAATTTATTGAATATAATAATAAAAATATATAGGGACAAAGATAAGGCAGGTATTAAAGTAGAATATTGCACAGTATTGCACCGCAATTAAGGCCAAAAAGTAAGAGCAGTGAAAATACCAAAGCATATAAACAATTAAAAATACCGCCAACAGGAAAGTCCCAATAAAAGTCCAGTAGTAGGCAAACGCGTTTCAGCCCTAGATAGGGCCTTCCTCAGTGTGAGCATATATATTATACTCTTATTCGTGGACCCCGAGTTCTTCATAAGAAGCTTACCGAGAGCCTGGACAGGCACCCAAGGGTGATGTACATAGAGCCTATGAGGCTCCATCTTTGTGAGTTCATTCCTCATATATTATAGACTACTTATATTTTACTGTATGGAAAGCACTATGTATATTCCATTTGTTTTTCAGATATAACCACAGTATCTATATCTACAATAGGTGGTATATTTATATATTGTACCTTTTAGTGTGTGTGAATTTGTTTATACTCTTTTACTCTGTTTCTAGGTGTTAAGGGATTACACCTTTTTTCACACTCACGCTTATTGTTATATTTAAGATTGGAAGCGCCTACACAAATTTTTGTATATTTTTATAAAGAAAAAAGTTACTTGCGCCCTATTCCAAATCCCTGTGCATATTTTATATAAATGCAGGTTTTTAGTTCCACTTTATTGACTCTGTGCTTTTCTATGGGGATTTTACTGATGCTTTAAGTCCTCATGACGCGTGTCCAGCATCATTTAGGTGATCTAGAGTCTGGTAAACTCTCAGAAGCGCCTTTAGTGGCAGTCTGGTAGACAGCCACTAGAGACTGCCTTAGTGCTGCAATGTAAACATTGCAGTCTCTCTAAAAGGGCAGTTTTACATTGCAGGGACATTGGACCCAGACCAGTCTCTTGCCTTGTTCCATACTGCCAGAGGCCTTCCCTGTGCTATGCTGCCATCAAGTTCACCAAACTCCATCCCAAAGGTCCTAAATAAGACTTTCAGGGGTGCACAGTTATACTGAAAAACAAGGAAGTGTCCAGAGAGTTAAAAAAAAGTCTGTGTATTGAATAGCTACAGATCATAATAGTGTAGCTCTATCTTTCAGGTAAATAAAATAATTTTCTACCATTTTATTTATTCATTTAATAATTGGATATGTGTCAGTGATGATAAAATAAGTTTAACAAAACCACTGGGCCCGACAAAAAGTTCCTAACAGCTGGGACGCTGCCTGTAAGAGGATTCTTTAACCTTTATGGAAGAATTGTTACCCCTGTGTCATGTTGAAAGACCCAGCTGTTGCAATTAATCACAATCTTCTTTCAACATGGCAAATAGGGTTCTAAAAGTGGCTCTATCAGCTTTGGGTGTCTTTGCAAATTTTACACACACGAGTGAAGGTGACATCATGCCCACTTGTCCTGTAGTGGCCTGAGAGGAGAAGCTGGTAAAAGGCATAAACATCTGAAGCTGTCGCTGAGATGCCGCCATCTTTGTTATAGAAAACATATTCTGCTCCCGCCAAGAGCTTAATCTATGTCCTTTTCTCCATCATGCCCAAGAGTGCAATGTAGAGCTCTATGGTCTTCTACAGTGCATGAGACGATACCTGTTTTCCACAGCTGTTACTAATGATGATTTTGGGAACTGACAAAACTTGACAGCAGAAGAGCCACCGTTTTGACCTAAGACAAAGTAGTCTCTACTGCTTTTCTAAGAAATTCTTATGAAATACTCAACATTGACTTGGTGGTGACAGAACCTATTTAACCTCTTAAGGACCAAACTTCTGGAATAAAAGGGAATCATGACATGTCACACATGTCATGTGTCCTTAAGGGGTTAAAGAGAACCTGCCAAGACCTAGCTGACCGTATGCTCCAGTGCCGCGATCTCCTTACAGAGGGGTGTTACACTTTTGTAATGCCCACCTCCGGTCTGGTCCGCTCTCGCTCCTCTCGCAGTTTTCACTGATTCATACCTCCTCTATGACATTAACACGTGTGTGTATGTATGTATGTATGTATGTGTATATATATATATATATATATATATATATATATATACACTTTTTTGTTTTGTTTACTCCCAGTTTATACATTTGCTAGCAAAACTGCTATCACAATGTATCAATGACATTTAGTGCTCTTTCCAAAGAACATGAGTGGTGTGGGAGGAAAGGTGACATGCTCTCTTTTAAGGCTAAAGTTTTAGGTTTTGTATTGCGAAGGGTGGGGGTAATATGCTCCAAACAATTTGGGGTCTCTTTGGCACTGTATCTTAGAACAATTACCATTGAATTGACATATATAAAGAGCCAAAAAGGTGTCACTGCCATAGGAGCAAGGATTTAAAATAAGTCCTTTTCTGCTTTGCAAAGCTAGTAAATGCAAATCTGTAGATGTAAAATGCATTTTCTCAGGAGAAAGAAGGAATTGACAATGAATCTTTTTGTTTGCCTAAAATGTTGGCTCCTTTTACATAACAAATATGCATAGAACACTTAAAACTATTCCCATGTGAAATTGTGGTCCGATGCTGCTAACCATTGATGTAGCTTGATTACATCCAAGTTCTGCTGTTCCTAGAAAAAAATAATTTTCTGTAGAGAACAGGTCAAGGTTGAAACATCCATCTGCCAAGGGCAAACTCCACATTTCCAAATCTTGTTTTCTGTCCAGGTTTTTTTTTTTTTTATATATAAATATGTGCTAGTGATAGATATTTAAAGGGACACTCCATGCCCTGTAACAATCTAACAATCCTGAAAGGTTTGCAGAGTTTATGATGCAAAGATAGCCCATGTCTCTGCCTCCTTGCAATTGCTTGCAGCCCATCTTGACATTTCACGTCACAGGAGGAATGTAATGTTTCATCTTTGCCCGTACAACTATATAAACAGGCTCCTTCAAGTCTTGCTGGGAAGGAGCCGGAGTCTTAGCTTCACGGTCGAATCTAATGGCACCATGCGCAAAAGTTTGACTAGAGTTGTCAGCAAACTGTTGCCAAGTGCTGAACGATAGCATTGGTTTAAGAGATATGCTTTGTTCCCATGTAAAGGGATATAATGAGAACATAGGGATTGAAGGAGTCACTTCCTGATGTGGACAGAGTTCATTACAGGGCTGCAAAGCCTGGGAATTCACAACAAAAGTAAGCATTTCAAATGTGAATTGAAATCGAAGACCTAAAGCATTAGGTGGCAGGAGATCACGATGTCAGTCTGTCAGTATTGACTATTTGAAAACAATGCCGTTTAACTTTGTAGTGTTTTCACTGCATAACTGAAAAAGAGGACATGGTTGCCATCAGTTGTCAGAGGTGATAAAAGCAGCTGTGACCTACAGAGGGAGGGATAGAACAGAACGATTTGAGATTTAGTTGAATGCGTCGGGTTGTCTTTGTTATTTGTGGTTAGGCAGAGCCAGCAACTAAACCTTTTCAATATAAATGTCTGTGTTGTTTTGCAGCTCGGTACAGTACATTTAAACAATGTAGCACTCCGAAAAGGAGACAAAAAATTTACATTTTGTCGGAAGTGATAACGGCAAACTCTTGTCCCAAAAATTACAAAATAGCAGAGAAAAATATTTTTTTAAGAAACATATAATATTGAATAAAAGGGAAGGAATTGAAAGTAGACGAGATCCATTCCTGAGTTTCGATATTATGAATATTTTACTTATTTCACGTTTAGCACTCTTTAAGCCATTGCAAAGTTTTTGTTTCAAAGACATTAGAAAGAGTTATTGGTTTTACGCTCCATAAATTACTTTGCATTCTCGTGAGACAAGTAAGGTATTCGATCCTTTAAGTCAGGGGATACAGCTTTATACCAGGTGTACACCACAATGCACCATATGTTTGGGAACAGAGTAAGCATAAATATCCAATTGTGCTCTATCAGCTGTGTCCATTCAATTAGTTTGTAGTGAGACATGCCAATTTTTCATGGAGAATTGTGAATCCTTTAGAGCCAGATCTTCGTTATGTGTGTGTTTTTAAAACACTTGCATAAAAACATAAAACTAACAAACACAAAATGAAACTGTAAGGATCATACAAACCATTCAATATAACAAAAATCTTTTGAAACAAAACACAGAAAGCCCTAAAAGTTACAAACTAGTAATTAGCTGAATATTACAATTACCTCTTTTTGCAGTGCTATACATGTGTATATTACCACCATAACCACTACACATTATTGTAGTCGCCCAAGCATGCTGTGGGTGCAGACTTCAGTGGTTCTGCAAAAAATAAATTGCTGTTGTGTTTTGGAATGCCCACATCCTGCTGTTAACACACATCCTACGGTTACAAATAATTTGTACTGGTAAAAGGAAGTAAAAATTCTCACTGTGAGGTTTAGGCTCAGTGGTGGGATATCGGTGCCAGGGAATTGTCCATTACTTACTAGTGTCATAATTGCTGCAATATGTTGTGATGGTTGTGTAGCTTAAATAAATACCTCTATGTCACCAAAGTATGCTGTAGTAGATTAGTATATGTATAGATCATAGTTTCTACCTATGTGATCTTTACATCTTGACATTCAATTAATTAAACTTAAAGGACCACTATAGTGCCCTGAGGGTGCTCCCACCCTCAGGGTCCCCCTCCCGCCGGGCTCTGGGGGGAGGAAGGGGTTAAACTTACCTTTTTTCCAGCACCGGGCGGGGAGCTCTCCTCCTCCTCTCCTCCTCTTCGGCTAAATGCGCATGCGCGGCAGGAGCTGCACGCACATTCAGCCAGTCCATAGGAAAGCATTCACAATACTTTCCTATGGACGCTGGCGTTTTCTCACTGTGAAAATCACAGTGAGAAGCGCGGAAGCCCTCTAGCGGCTGTCAGTGAGACAGCCACTAGAGGCTGGATTAACCCATTTATAAACATAGCAGTTTCTCTGAAACTGCTGTTTATAAAAAAAAAAAAAAAAAAAGGGTGTTAATCCTAGCTGGACCTGCCACCCAGACCACCTCATTAAGCTGAAGTGGTCTGGGTGCCTATAGTGGTCCTTTAAGTTCATCACAGGTGATGCATATATATATTTATAGATCTCTAAGAGCAGGTTGTGGGATTTCATAACAATTTGTTTTAATATGTAATTTGTCTGACACAGATATTAGATGGTACAGGAATAGGTGTGTATTTTATCAGAAGAACATGATGTTTTGACTCCACTTGACTGTGGTGTGTGATCACACTCCTATCTATATATACAGGCATACCCCACTTTTAAGTACACAATGGGACCAGAGCATGTATGTAAAATGAAAATGTACTTAAAGTGAAGCAATACCTTTTTTTACTTCCCAATGCATGTACTGGATTGCAATAGTCATAACTGATACTGCAACTGCAGATTTCCAGTGATTTATTTAGTGATTTCCAGTGGGCTTTTATTCAGTTAAAACAAACAGTAATAAGAAAAATCTCATTCCAGATTGTACCATTTATCTTTAATGTTTTACTCATCTGACAACCTTAAACTGGGAGGAAAAGTAAAATAAACCTGCCCCCCGGGCCATTTTCTGTCAGTACAGTGCCAATTTGTATTTGTTAGCAGCTTAGTTGCACACTTTCTTTGGAAACACCTCTTCATCACTTTTTAAGCAATTATGGTTTAACTCTGGATCCTCAGAATTGATGCTAATGCAGCTTAGCTGCTAAGTCATAGTTATAGAAAACGGCAGGGTAAACCCTTTCACTGGATGGCAGCCGATTGCAGAATATGGACAATGTACGGGCAGAAAAGAAAATCTATATGTTCAGCTAGGAGTAGGCATTATAAATTTGAGATGATTAACCTATGCCATGTCAGAAGGTGTGAAAAGTTCTTGCCCCAATGACACTGAACTGAGCTGCTCCGGGCGAGAATAGAACCTTCCATTTCCTGTTCACTCGCAAACAGTAGAGGTGCAGGAATGTCTGTACTCGCGAGTGTATGTGAAGCCCGCGGGGTATGCCTGTACACCTCTTCCAGACAAGGGAATAGACAAATCTCATCATCAATGATGAATTACTGGATTATATCAAACGCAGCTAGAGCTCCCCACAGAGAAGTACTTGATTCAGTGTTTTTGTCTATGAGAATATTGGCCAAGTGCACATGCATGTGTCCTATGTTCGCAATGCTTCTCATGCTTTCTTTTTTTTTTTCTTTTTTTTTTATTCCCACCAGGTTTTTTCATTTCAAAAACAAGTAACCTTCAATCTAAAGATAGGATGGAACAGGTGGCTGATGTTAAAAATAAATGTAATTATTTTTAATATTAGGGTGTTCCTTTAATTATCTTTTTTTTTTTTCTTTTCTTTTTTTTAATGTTGACTTAATAATGTTCTTGTGTGCAATGCTATTGTGTGCTTGTGGGGTGCAGTCTGTGTGCATACACACTGTGAACTTTCCCCATATTGACAAACAATGCCTTGACTTACTGCTCCATGTACAGTTGCTTGAAGGGTAGGTTATTCAAACAATTTTTATCTTTGTGTTATTTTTGTTTTTCTTTATAGCGCCCCCCACTTATTACTTTAGAAATCCTGAAATATAAAGTTAAAGAAACACTATGGTTTTAACACCATTGTGTTCCTGACCCTAATTTCTAGCCCCACTGGATCCCTTTTAACCCCATAAATATAGCAAAATCTTACTTTTATTCCTGTCTGCTGCTGGCTCTTCCCCTGATTAGCCTACTTGGCTGACATCATCAGAAGTTGTATTCTAAGCCAATCACAAAGCTTTCACATAGAAAATCATTGAATTGTCTGAGACTGTCGAGGAAGCAGATCAGGGGCAGAGTCAGCACAAGCCAAACACAGCCATGGCCAATCAACATCTCCTCATAGAGATGCATGTAATCAATGCATCTCTATGAGGGAAGCTCAGTGTCTCCATGCAGAGGGTGGAAACTCTGTCCGTCATTGCTGCACACTGTGCGGCACAGACCCATGAAGCACCTCTAGTAGGACTCTGAGGAGTGGCCAGTGGAGGTATCCTTGGGCTGTAATGTAAATACTGCATTTTCTCTGAAAAGATCGTGTTTATTGCAAAAAGCCCGAAGGGAATGGTTTTACTCACCAGAACAAATTCAATAAGCTGTAGTTGTTCTGGTGACTATAGTGTCCCTTTAAAACTTACATGGAATCCAATGTTGTGCAAAGATCTTACATGCCCTGTCTGTTGTCACATTGCGTCACTCACTTTCTCTCCGTGACCCAATCAAATGCTTCAGTGATTGAAACGTTCTCACCTGTTCAGAGCATGTGTGCGCTCTGAGCCAGGAGGGTGGGACGTGACTAGGGGAAAATTATGGACAAATATGAAGAAATGCAGAAATGGGAAGGGTCTTACAAAAAGTATGGGGAGATTCTCCCTGCGCTGTCTGCAAGTGTAGAATCTCAGTAAGTCTGTTGCCAGCGCGCTGATGACAGACTTATTTTTGTGTACAAAACAAACATTAAGCAATCCAGAACAGAGTTCCAGGCTGCCTAAGTCACGTGTCAGCGGGTGTAACCAGCCCCCTGGCACCAAAGTCCAGATATTTCTGTATGTGTAGTGTTTCAAGCTAAAAAAGCACTGATTATACAGATTCCTACCACTATGACCACTTTTAAAAGCAGAAGTGGTCATGGCTGTTGGAGTAACCCTTTAATGTTTGTGGAATGTTACCATTCCAGTCTAACCAATACTATCCAGAGCAGTACTTCCACAATAATTTGCAAGGATCACCTGCTTGAATGTCAGCTATGCTATATAATTAATAATGGTATGATGGTGATCTGAACAGAATAACTGATTCTAAATTTAGAGACTCTATTCACTCAAACTGAATATCACCCTAAGGTCCCTTTTTGTTTGAAATATGCCCTTATCTGATCCAGTTTCACAAGCTCCTTTTGTCAGGATTACAGCATGATCCAGCACGTAGAACTGTGTAACACAGGAGACCAATAGGTAACCTTAGAATGGCCGGACTCGCGTACCAAAGAATAGTCAGGAATAGCCGAGGTCAGGGGACACAGAAAGGGACAAAATGATAAAAGAAAGCCAGAGGTCAGGGATGCCAGAAAACAGGGAAGTCAAAATCAATGCCAAAGTCAAATAACCAGAATAAGGAACGCGCTCTCGGACAACCACTAGGGAAACCACAACTGGGCAATGAGGACAGGTATTTTTTGGTTTAAATACCTGCTTTACTTTTCTGATTGGCTGAAATCGCTCTTTGACCCCAAAACATGTGCACGGCGTGTGACGTCACATGCACGCCGGCGTAGTCAATCACGTGAGCGGACGTGGGGGTATATTTTGCCGTGGATCCGCAGCAGCCGATGTCCATTAACATGCCGCAAGTGTCAGACATGGAGGTACACGGCCGCTGACTGCAAGATGAGGAAGGATATGTTACACCTTTACATTACAAGAGGCAATTTTTTCTTATTCCTCCTGTAATATATTATAACCAAAGGAAATTTGTAAAGAAAAATTAGAAAACAAAATCTCACCTACAGCCGCAGCACTCCTAAAATATGTTGGCATCCAAAAATATTATCCAGAGTAGTTCCAGGTTGCCAAAGTCACATGTGCTGGGGGTGTAAATGGCTTCTGGCACAAAAGTGCAGATTTCTCAGTATGTACAGTGTTTCACAGATGCATATGTAAAGCCAAAGTTGCACAAAAACACACAGGCACGCACAGACCTGCACACACATAGACATGCACTGATGCACACAAACACCTACTGTACAAAATAAGTTTACGGGTTCCGGTGTTGTGGTTGCGGTGGACATGAACTACTAAGCAGCTCAGTGATAGATGTGTTAGAGGTACAGGTGTATATATTAGTACTTATTATTATTATTATTATTATTATCGCCAATTTGTATAGCGCCAACAGATTCCGTACCGCTTTACAATATTAAACAGTGACACTAGAATGCGCTTCAAATCTTGCTAGTATATTGCTCTATCCCCACATGATGCTCACAGAGCAGACTGTGAGAGGCAACACAGAATTAATGATATTGGGCTGCCTGTGGGGGATACTTAGATCCAGTACTAAAGAGCTCCACATTTGGGGTTGGCATAAATGCTTGAGCTTGTGTAAGAAATTATTTGCCTTGGGGTATTTAGTCAGTGGCAAAAAGTAAAGGATTTTCACTTTTTTTTTTTTTTTTTACAGTTAATTACATTTAATGAAACTAGTTATTTTTATTAATGGTGTATATTTATTTTAAAAAATCAATAAATACATTTTAAATGGCAGTTTATTTAATCTGGCTGAGAGGCCATGTTGGATCAGACTCTATTTACGGTTGTCTGCTGCTGTGATGGGTCTGGATGACTAAGTGCCCATTGCAGTGCATAGTATGTGTTGCTGGCATGTTAGGAATCGGATATACTCGCAAAACTGGCATTGTATAACCCCCAAAATGGTCACTGAAGTTTACTTTGCACTAGAAAATAATTTTAACACCTGTAGGAATCGGACCTACGTGTGTCATTTGGACAAAGTACTTATTTGAGATAGTAGTTTAAATTAGGAAATTGCTATGATTAAAAGGGACACAGTAGGTACCCGGATCGCTTCATCTCAATGTCCCTGTTGTTTCAGCCCTGCAAGTAAAAACGACCTTCATTGCAAATGCCTCCAGTTGTTGTCACTCTGGCAGCCACTAGAGGCACTCCTGCCGAAATAGTAAAACTCCGCTATTTCAATCAGATCTCTCTATGAGACCATCTAAATGGCACAGCAAGTTGTTTTGCTGCGCATGCGCACTAGCCTTCCACTGCTCTCCTATGGATTGATGATCTCAGCCAAGGAGGCATGCCAGCAGGATAGAGACCTGTGCAGTGAGCCCTGAAAGTATATAGCAAACTATCATACACGTTTGTGTTCCTTTAATTGTTAATTTATAGCTAATGACAGTCAGCGAGTGTTTGTTTGTTTATTTTATTTGTTTGTAGTCCTTTTTACATGCTTTTTTTTGTATCATTTCATTCTACAAGTGTATTTTTTTTTTTTAAATTTTTTTTTTGAGGTTTTGCAAGGCAGCTTTACTGAGTTGATAGTTGTTGGTGTTTTTTCAGACTGTAATCTCCGAGCAGCTTTCAGTCTTCAGGCACTAGGGGAAAGGTTACTATAGGACGTTACTCTCTGCCATTGGTAGCTGAGAGGCCTGAAATAGACTGCTGAATGCCTTCAGTGCTAGATCAACATGGTATGGCATCTCTTCCAGCAACAAATGGGTTAATATGCAAAGCAAGTCAATAAGAGCGTGACTCTTCCCACCGCAAATCCACCATCCATATACTGTAGTTCCGGAACTGCAACTTAATCCTAAAATTCTAATTTTATTAAAGACCCGGAGGCTCCTATTATGCTGCTCTCTTTCTTTATTACCCTCAGCAGCAAAGAATACATTATTGAAGAAAAATAAACATTTGAACTAGGTATAACATCATAGTGACAATGTCCGCCTAGTAACATGGCCATCCAATCAGTGTCGTCCTTCTCCTATAGTAGGCGGAGCATTGATGACCACTTCCTCTTTCTTTGCTGCTACCCTCAGATAAGTACACCTCTCACAGTTCTCTCACTGTGGGATCCTTTAATGTTACTTCTATTCAATATGCTATTGTACTTCATTGTATTTAATTGTTCTTTCTATTAACCTACATTCATGGGTACCTTTTACTGGTACTGACTGCATTGCACCTTTAACTAATCTTTCAAAGTATAAGTGTAGTATACTTAACAACCTGCACATCTTCCTATACCCTACACTGTCATGGCTTGACCCCCCTTATTCTATCTGCCCTGATATTCAGGGACTTGGCCGGTCTGTGGGTTTGTCCCAGGTATCACTTTAATTTCGCCGGCATCTGGCCCGTCCGCGCATGCGCGCCCAGTCAGAACGCTATCTTAAGCTCCAGCTGTAGGTCGCGGTCGGATTTAATTCTGACCGCGCATCCAGCCGCACTACACCCCTCCCTCCCCGTGCGGCGGTGTAGCAACGTTACCTTACCGCCGAACACTGGCATTCTCTTATACTTTCGCTTCGTTGGCCGCGGCGGCCATCTTTTTGGTTCCCGTCGGCGCGGCGGCCATTTTCTTCCAACATTTTCCCGCCCTTTTACTCTGGAACGCCCACTCCGTCCCTTGATCGGAGTTGGTGTCCAGTATTAGTGGCGGACGGTTCCCTTTTCTCCTGCTCCCCTCCATTATTTTGATAAATAGCTGTAAGTGATTTTCCTGATTTAACTTACTGCTTATTGTGTTCTGGTTATTTTCAGCTGGGTTACTTAACCCTGCTCTACAACTCTTACTATTAAATTCAAATAACACCTGCACTGTCAGTTACATTGATTGCCAGTTATTACTTTGTTTAAATCCTGCCTGTCAGTTACACTGCACTAATGCAATCTGCTAATGATTTACCTGGTCCCTCAGGGACAACAACTGACCCCCAAACAGCATTGGGTTTTCCCCCTATAGTTTCTGGGGATGACCTGGATTTCCCAGCATCAGAGGATATTCAGGCTATCATGGATACTACTGTGTCCAAGTCTGTCTCTAAAGCCCTGGCATCTGCCATGGACATTATGTCTTCATCTATTTCAAAATCTTTTACCCAGGCACTAAGGCAGGCCCAACGCATGGTCCCTCCGACCGCTATGCCAGTCGCGATACCATCTATTTCCAACCCTTCACGCCCCGGCCGCAAAGCCTCGGCAAAAACCAAGCACTCCTCCAAGTTAACGATGGACAGAAAAACACCTGTCACAGATGGCGCGAATACTAACCCACCGCGCAAAAGAGCCTCTAGCCGGGCAAAAGCGGCTAGGCATTGGAAGTGGGCTAAAGCCCAACCTGATTCCACTGAGTCAGAACTCAGTTCAGATGAGGAGAGTGCCCCAGCCCTAGACTCAGATCAGTCTAACGATTTGTCCGACCTAGATTCGGAATATGACATTGATGAGGTGTGTGATCCCTCTACTGAGATAAATACCGCAAGCTCAGAATTGATTAAACAGGGAAAAATCCTTGACCCGCAGGGCGAACCACTGTTTGAGCCGGATGACTTACGTCACCCCCGCTCTGCAGAATGGTCACCAGCTGAGCATGTGGCACAATATGTCGCCTCACGGGTCCGTAAGCCTCTGGACAAGGCAACACGTAATAAACTGAGGGCTGAATGCCCACGCCCCACCGTACCAGACGAGGTCTGTAAGACACCCCAAGTCGATCCCAAGATCATACAATTTTTAAGCAAGACGGGTTGGAAACCTAAGAAAGGTCTAGACTTTTCGCTTTATAATTGTCAAGACAAAGTCTTGGATATCTTAGGTCCAGCGACCCAAATTTTCGAAGCCGTGGAGAAATCCTTGGCACAAGATGACGCCTTAGATCGCCTCACTATTAGAGGTTGGATTCAGAGGGTGATATGCCTCATAGGCAATGCCAATACCGCTCTGGCTACAGAGCGCCGTAAATCTATTCTCATTAAAATAGAACCAAAGCTTGTAAATATGGCAATTACTGAGCCAGGGGCCCTAGCAAAAGGGTACCTTTTTGGAGAATCTTTTGTAAAAGACCTGGGATCTTATGTCCAAACATTCACGGCCTTAGACAAGGCACAATCAAATCTAAAAAGGGTGTTCCACCCAAAGGTTTTTGGTGGGGCCGGCAGAGCAAGGGGCCGTCTGTCCGGCAGAGTCAACAGAGGCTCGCGCCCGAGCCGAGGCTCCTATGTTGGGAGAACCCCCTTTATTGACCAAAGGTCCGCTCCGACCTTTTTTCCACAACGAGGCAGACCATGGGTGTCGAGAGGTACTCGAGGCGCTCCTTCCGGAAGACGTCCTTACGGTAAGCTACCTTTCTCAATTTCAAACACAAGTGGCGATTGGGGGCAGACTCACACATTTTTCCCATGTCTGGGCTCTCATTACCTCAGATGCCTGGATACTCAGGGCTGTCCACGGGTACCTAATAGACTTTATATCCCTTCCAACCCAACGCTCCCCACCCAGGGAGATTGCTTTTTCCCCTCTAGACACGACCCTCGTCTCCGAGGAGGTCCGAGACTTGGCTCTCAAAGGAGCTATTCAAGAAATCCCGATGCATACCCCGGGTTTTGTGAGCAACCTATTTATTGTCCCAAAGAAGGGGGGCGGGTCCCGCCCAGTTATCAATCTCAAACACCTAAATACCTACGTAAATTACCATCACTTCAAGATGGAAGGCATTCACTGCCTGCGAGATTTGCTCCAACCAGCCGACTGGATGGTCAAACTCGATCTAAGAGACGCGTACCTCACGGTACCCATTGCACAGACGCACCAAGATTTCCTGCAATTCACGTGGCAAGGAAGGAAATGGCGGTTCCGCTGCCTTCCCTTCGGTCTGTCTTCCGCACCTTGGTGCTTCACCAAGCTAATGAAGCCCGTGATTGCTCTCCTACGCAGTCGAGGGATACGCCTAATCATATATTTAGACGACATCCTACTGCTATCCCAGTCAGTCTCACTGCTCCATATGCACCTCGGTTGGACCACAACCTTGTTGCAGAATTTGGGATTCATCATAAATTGGGAAAAGTCCACCCTAGCCCCCACTCAACAAATAGAATTCCTAGGTCTCTTGGTGGACTCAGTTATGCAAACCTTGTATTTACCAACATCCAAAATGAAAAATATCAAGAAAGAGATAAGACGAGTTCTTACCTGTCCACATATATCTCTCAAACATCTGGCCCGCGTGATCGGGCTCCTAGCAGCCTCCATACAGGCCATATTCCCGGGTCCCCTTCATTACAGAGCCCTCCAACGCCTACAGGCGTCATACCTGAGAGACGGCGCCTCATACGAGGATACTCTGACTCTAAACGCAGAGGCGAAAGAAGAACTCCGCTGGTGGCTCATACACATGGAGGCGTGGAATGGCAAAGCCATCTTCGGCTCGGCCCCAGATGTAGTAATAGAGTCGGACGCGAGCTCTTATGGTTGGGGTGCGCGCTGCGGAGATATTTCCACAGGCGGACGCTGGTCGGAGGCGGAGTCAACACTGCATATAAATTGCCTGGAACTCCTTGCAGGGTCCTTTGCAATTCGCAGCCTCTCCCCGACACTGTCCCAATGCTCAATCTTACTGAAGATGGACAACGTATCGGCTATCCGGTATATCAACCACCTCGGTGGCACGAGATCCAAAATCCTGGCGAATTTGGCGAGGGACTTTTGGCAGTTTTGTCTGCAACACAACATGGCCGTCAGGGCAGAATTCTTACCCGGGTTATCCAACACTACGGCGGATTGGTACTCCCGCCATCTACGGGATTCCAGCGATTGGCACCTCGATCCCCAAGTCTTCCAGCACATTTGGGATCTGTGGGGTCCTCTGGCAATAGACTTGTTTGCCTCCCGTTTGAACACCCAACTTCCGACCTTCTTCAGTTGGAGGCCAGACCCCAAGGCTTCGGCTACGAATGCTTTCTCCCAAGACTGGTCAACCACCAGGAACTATGCTTTCCCTCCTTTCGCCCTCATTCCTCGGTGTCTTCTCCACCTACGGCGCCAATTGGGCTGCTTGGTGATAATAACCCCGTTATGGCCGTCGCAGCCCTGGTTCCCTCCTCTTCTGGAGATGGCCATAGATCGCCCGCGGCTCCTCCCGGATGCCCAATCTCTACTACGAGACCCGGATGCGAACCCCCACCCCATGATCCGTCAGGGGCTCCTCCGCCTCATGGCGTGGCTGGTTTCCGGGGACCCTGGTCGATCGAGGGAGTTTCGCAATCGACTCTCCGACTTCTCGAGGGCTCATGGGCACCCGGCACGAAGCAGTCTTACAAGTCTGCTTGGCGCACATGGGATGGTTGGTGCATGGCACGGGGTTTGGATCCCCTATCAACTCCTGTGACAACAGTCCTGCAATTCTTAACATCCCTTTATGACGACGGGAAGGCTTACAGGACAGTAAACCTCTTCCGTTCGGCCATATCGGCCGGCCATACCGGCATTGATGGGGCCCCGATAGGACGACACCCAATTGTCTGTCGTCTTCTCCGAGGCATTCGCTTTGCAAGGCCACCCCAACCTCGCTATTCCTCCCTGTGGGACGTCTCCCTAATATTGAATTTCTTGACACGATGGCCAGACAACGACTCTTTATCCTTGAAACAACTATCCGCTAAACTAGTTATGCTCTTATGCCTAATCTCCTGCAAGAGAGTGTCAGATGTTAGAGCACTCGATGTCAATGCCCGATCCTTCTCTCCAGAAGGAGTGGTCTTTGACATCTCACGGAGGACGAAATCGTCATCTCGGACGGTCCTGTACCCGGAGTTTCATGCGAAGCCACTCCTTTGCCCGGTAGCATGCCTTCGGGCGTACGAAGCCCGTACCGCACCCCTTCGGACTGGGTCAGACCACCAACTCTTCATCTCCTTCCGTAAACCGCATGCTCCGGTTTCCTCTCCAACCTTGGCCCGCTGGGTGAAATGGCTCATGTCTTTGGCAGGTATTGACACCTCCATTTTCTCTCCCCATTCGGTTCGCGGTGCCATGGCCTCTAAAGCCTCCTTTGCTGGTTGTCGTTTAGAGGATATATTGAAGGCGGCTGATTGGTCTGCGGAATCTACCTTCCGTAATTTCTATTTCAAACCAATCCAACATTTTGCAGAAGCCGTGATATCACAGCTTTAAAATAGCATAATAGGAGCCTCCGGGTCTTTAATAAAATTCGAGGATTTTACAATTATCATGACGGAAAGTCATGATTTTATTAAAGACACGGAGGCGAGTATTATCCCACCCACCCGCCCTTGGACAGCTTGGATGTGGGGCAAGGTAAGTTACAGACCTCTCCATGGTAAGTTCAATCTTGGTGATATTGAGGCCATCACAGGCGTTAGGACATTATCTAATTTGAGACTCATTGCCACAAGTGTCCTCAGATCAGTAGTCCCTCTTACTACATCTATGAATTATTGCCACTGTTTAGTCAAATGTGTGGACCTCTATGTATGAAAACCCATCAGTCCAAGACATTACCATATTTTCTTGTCTCTTCTAGCATGACTGGGTTGAAGGAGCTCTTGGAGTCTCATACCTTGTTCTGGCTCGTTGGTTTATCTGGTTTCCTGTTCCGAGTTTTGAGTTTATTCTTCGGGATACGCAAGAAAGAAAGAGGAAGTGGTCATCAATGCTCCGCCTACTATAGGAGAAGGACGACACTGATTGGATGGCCATGTTACTAGGCGGACATTGTCACTATGATGTTATACCTAGTTCAAATGTTTATTTTTCTTCAATAATGTATTCTTTGCTGCTGAGGGTAATAAAGAAAGAGAGCAGCATAATACTCGCCTCCGTGTCTTTAATAAAATCATGACTTTCCGTCATGATAATTGTAAAATCCTCGAATTATTTCTTAAACTAATGCCTACGTCTGGGTTGAGCTGCTTTCTGGTTTCTAAGTCATAGAAAGGAAGTAGCTTGCTTATCGAGCAAAGATTACATTAAAGAAACAGTAACGGCTTAAAAACATAACTTCTTTAATGGGTCATTTTAAGAATAATTATTATAGTTTTGATTCCTATAAGTTGTGTTCAGTGGGATCTAAGAGAGCAGAATATTTTGTACTAAATATATATACACAACATAGCGGCTATTTTGTGCTAATACTTGTTTTTCCCCCAGTTTTTACATGGGGGCAGGGGGGGGGGGAATATTTGCAGTAGTTTAGAAACTCAAAGATTCTTTTTTTCTGGAGGCGGGAGGGTGGTAAGCCTAAAATAAGATTTATTGAGAGCATCTAGGCATGTCAAACAATTTCTAAATATTATATTAATAAATATAATGCCGAATTATATTGGGGAGGTCGGGGGGGATTTTTATTTTTTTTAAATGTTCTAGCTAGTGCTATCATTATCAGAGAAGTAACTGTTCTTTTTTCACTACCGGGAACCTTTTACTTTGAATGTGACTGTGGACTCAGTTCGGGGCATCAGAACAAATTTTGATGTGAGTGATTTCTTCTACAAGAACGAATAGGCGTTATTGTCTGTAGAGACATTCCTGGTCCATTTGAGAAAAGAAAAACTGCAAAGTTCTGTCAACTGTAAGCAGAATTGCAATGGCCTTTCTTCTGCTAAAAATATCATGATCACGTTGAAACTCTTACTTGCAGATTCAGTAGCCGTTTCCACTTTCAGTGATCGCACTGGTCTGTAAGGGAAAACCACTGTGACTCAATAATTTATTAAATATTTTTGGCACAAGACTATAAAAAGCTCTTAAAGGAACACTTCAAACCTATAAAGCACTCCCGCTAACAGATATTCACTAAACCTGTACTTAAGACTTGCATCCCAATGTTGGGAGGTAAAGGTTTGGAGACGTGGCTCCAGTGAGAGATTTGTCAACTATAAGCCTTTTCCCAATCCTGATCATGAGTAGCACACTGTAACAGCACATGAATATGCAATGAGTTCTGTTATGTTTGGCAGGATTGAGCATTCTCTGTGAAGTGTTTGGGCACACAACTTTTAGCTTACCTAGAGAAGGTAACCTCAAACAAACAGCCCAAAACAACTCGAGCTGGCAGGTATCCATATGTATCACCTTCTTCCAGTGGTTGGTTAAATCTGACTTTACATTATTCACTCTGTGAAAGCCTTGCTTACTTTTTATCCCTACCCTTTATGTTGACTGAAAAACCTGTGTTTTTCAAGCCCCATCTGTTGTCACACCACATCACTGCTTCCCTCTCAGAGGTCCACTTGAATGCTTTTCATAGAGAAGCATTGGTTTGGACTGATCTCTAGGCTCAGAGTGCATGCCTGCGCTCTGAGCCGAGGAGGGGAGGGTTGGAGTGTTAGGTGGACAAGGGGTGGATATTTAAAATAAATAAATAAAAATACAGCCAATGTAGGGAGACTGGGAGGGAATGGTAGATGGAAGGAGAGGACTTCTTGCAGGCATGCTAATCCATCTTCAGGGTAGAGTGCGTGCTGACGAGAGACTTCATTTGTGCACAGAATTAACAGTAGGCAGCATAGAACAGAGTCCCATGTCCTGGGGAGTGTAACCAGACCACTCCACAAAAAGTTCAGATTGTTCTGTATAAGCAGCGATTCAAGCCAAAGTGGTCATGATGTTTGGAATAATGAAAATGAATCTGGAAATAAAGATGTTTCCGTGAATCAACAGGTCAATTAGAAAAAAAATGTGTGGAGTGTTTTTACTTTTTTCTTTTATTACCACCTCGTATCTTCTCAATGCCTTCATTCTACCTCTGTTGAAATAAGTAAAGTACTGTGAGTTCATTTATTGTTTTGTAAGAGAAATATGCATGAAATATGAGGAACTGTAAAGGCATTTCACTAAAACAGACCATGGCATTTATGGTTTATGCTAATGAGCTGCTAAGACAGATGAAATAATTAACCTATTAGTCACTCTTTGTCACGTTGTATAAAGTCAAGTGACCTCCTTGTTCTTTAGTAACCTTGTTAAATTGTGATGACTGAGCTTATACCCATGACCTATATATGTATGTGTGTATATATATATATTATTGTACATACATAACACACCATGTTCCACTATCATATCATCATCATGGAGAGAGTTTAGGTCAGACCCCTGGGGAGTCATCTTTGCATTTGCCGTAGAGGGCCGGGAGGAAAAAAGACAGACTTTTGTTCTTTGTCCTGTCCTATCTGTGGTGAGTGGAGAGAACTAACCCAACTGTATATATGCTGTCATGGTTAGCAAACCGTGCTCCTCCCTTCATAGTAAGACATGCGGAAACACGTTTCTCTGCAGCTATTATAGGGGAACAGAGGTACCACGCGTACCTGACCTAGAAAGTGATAGCCTAATGGTAGTATAGAAGGTCAATAATCATACAATAGAGAATCGTAGCGGTGAAAATATCTTGCAAAAAACCCTAGCACTAACATGTTTGACTCAAGTAATTTAGTTAAGGAACACTATTGTGTCAAGAATTGTAACCGAACATGATTGCCTCCAGTTAAAAAGTTGATTTACTTACCTTTTTCCAGCTCAATGCTGGTTCAGTCGCGTTTGGTCCTGCCCATGCTCTACCCCCCTTGCCTGCGATCATCAAGTTTGATGTTCTCAGCCAATCCAATGCTTTTCAATAGGAAAGCATTGTAAGACAATCGAACATGCGCGACAAACCGCCATTGTGTGCCAGTCAGCATGTCCTCCTAGAGATGCATTGACTAAGTGCATATCTATAGGTAAAGTTCAGCACCATGCACCAAAACTGCTTCATTAAAGTTGTCAAAATTAAGTTGTTATGGTGCCAGATGACCCCCGGATGTACTCTTACATTAGGGGATTAAACCGTTGTTGAATGGTTTAACCCCAAAAGTTGCCTGCAGCGCCGATTTCCAGGTCCCCCAGGCGGCATCAGACTTCAGAATCTGAGTTACAGGAAGCGCCTGGGCATATGCGCCACAGATTGGCTAGAGTGGTCAGCTGACTCTTTAAGCCAATCAGCTAACCATTCATTAAAAAAAAAAAAAAAATGTACATAAAGGTAAGAGGGAGACCTGAAACTGAGGAGAGGCACCTGGGGACTCCAGGCATCATAACCACTACAGTGCATTGAGCACAGATCTTCAGATTCCTTTGAATCTCTTATCATGAGTCATGTTTTGGAGCATTCAGAAGATTCACTTTTGGAAAGAATATCCAGCAGCACACCTACAGGTCAGACTTGACCTATATAATGAGTGTAATTATTGATATGACATTAAACTCCAAATGTTATATTAAAGGGACACTATAGTCACCTGAACAACTTTAGCTTAAAGGGACACTATAGTCACCTGAACAACTTTAGCTTAATGAAGCAGTTTTGGTGTATAGAACATGCCCCTGCAGCCTCACTGCTCAATCCTCTGCCATTTAGGAGTTAAATCCCTTTGTTTATGAACCCTAGTCACACCTCCCTGCATGTGACTTGCACAGCCTTCCATAAACACTTCCTGTAAAGAGAGCCCTATTTAGGCTTTCTTTATTGTAAGTTCTGTTTAATTAAGATTTTCTTATCCTCTGCTATGTTAATAGCTTGCTAGACCCTGCAAGAGCCTCCTGTATGTGATTAATGTTCAATTTAGAGATTGAGATACAATTATTTAAGGTAAATTACATCTGTTTGAAAGTGAAACCTGTTTTTTTTTTTCCATGTGAAATTGCAGGGGAATGATCTATACACTAAAACTGCTTTATTTAGCTAAAGTAATTTAGGTGACCATAGTGTTCCTTTAAGATTACTTGTTAATTTGCTCATTTGGAATCACACTTTTCTGCTTATGTTGACCAGTCTTGTTTCCCATTTTCTTTTGTTAGATTATGTTACTTATTGTCTTATTGAACTTTCCCATTCTTATTCCTTCAATAGGTGGAGATGAGCCTCCTGAAGCAGTGCTACAATGACTTGTCCTCTCAGATTAACCTTATCCTGATCGAGAGGCTTTGGTATGTGATGCTTGAGCAGTTTCTCATGAAGTACGTCTGGAGTGCATCTGGACTGGTTATGGTAGCAGTACCAATTATAACGGCCACCGGCTACTCTGAGAGTGGTAAGTAGGGGGGACTACAGTAAGTAACATTACTTAGAAAGTCTTCCTTATAGAGGAATCCAAAAATGCTTGGGATGCCCATAAGGCCATCCAGAAGAAGAGTAAAAAAAAGTCAATGTCGAGTCTCAAAATTGGCCACACATTACCTTCCATTGTAGTCATTTTCTTTTGTTTACAGGTTTCAGATAAAGGTATTTAAAGCGGAACTGTCACTTCCCCATATTTTAATATTATGTTGGCTTATCCCTCGCAGATTTATTTGTGAGCTGTGAATAATAAAATTAATTGTAGAAATCTCCACCTGTTTATCCTGCAACCGGATCTGTCTTTGCTCTGTCCTTTGTCCCGTGCAGTCCGCATAGGGCAAGCATACAGAGAAGAGGAGAAATTAAACAATGATTCTGTTTCTCCTCCACGTTAGCAATGTTTGCCTTGGGATTGCCTTGTATGAACTGGATTTCTATATAACTTGTTATATCTTTAATATGAAACCATCTCATGAAAAAAGTTTAACAAAAGTTATTAATGATGTTCTATATTCTATTTAGTGGTGTGAATTTTAGAGAAGTAACAGTTCCCCTTTAATGCAGAAACAGTGGGTATTCCTGATTCACTTTGGAAGCAAAATAGAAATGAATACATTGACGAGTAAAGGGCTCGTTGTCCTGTGTTCAGTAACTGTAAAGCCAAAATAGTGGTAATGTTACTGTGAGGTCGGCCGATAACCAGACCATTAATTCAGCCTTGTAGCCTCACTATGTCCCTCGCCGGTTGTGTCTCTTTAAAAGATTCTGCGGAGGTAAAGAAAGCTGCCATGGAGATGAAGGAGGAGGAGCTGGTAAGCGAACGAGCAGAGGCCTTCACCACAGCGAGGAACCTCCTGACAGCTGCGGCCGACGCCATCGAGAGAGTAATGTCATCTTATAAAGAGGTCAGTTGTTTTAAAATATGTATATATCTCCTTTCATTGATCAGGAACATATCATGGGTTGACTTGATCGGGAGTTATACCGTACATGCTGGATGATAAAAACATATACTGGTATTATAGGATGGGATGAGTAGGTTATTAAAGTGATTTTACGTACACCCTAACCTTTACAGCTCATTGTAGTGGTTATAGTGTCATAACGGTAAACACCATCCCCTGTTTTGGAACATGTTTTGGAAAAAGTAGGGCTCTCCCCAGCACCCATAGCCTGCCCCTCTGCTGCCACACTGATACTATGGAAATTGTACTTCTGACTTGTTAAAAAGTATATTTTGTTTATTGTAATTCAGTTGAATAATTAGTGAATGCAGCCATGATCTTATATATTCTACCATAGATTATTTATTTTGGGTCAATCTGTGTTAATGCATAGAAATGATAAGCTCACTCAAATGTAGATATCATTTTAAGAATAATTCCTAAACATGTTTCAATACATCAGTCACATTTTGGTTATTGTTTGTCTAGTAAATAAACTCCAGGGATGTTGTAAAGTTATATTGGCTTTTGGTTGCTTTAGTTGAGAAAACCTGTTCATAAAAAAGTTTTATTGTTCTGTATCTTTAATAAGACAGCACAATAGGATCAATACAGAACGATTTATTTGCTATTCAATGAGTTGTGGTGAACTGACAACCAAATAGAAGACTTTCAGCTACAATATTCGATTTGGAAACAAATCTCAAATTCCGTTTCAGAATTTTTACTTTTGGAAACTTGACTAGTTTAAAGCAGCACTTTTACACCAAACTTACCTTTTCCCATTTCTTTCCTCTTCTTTACCTCTTTCCTACTCTGTCCTAGTTTTTTGTTGTTGTTTTTTTTCCATCTATTTGTAACTAAAAGCAAGACAAACTTACTGACATTACTAGACATTGAGCGGAGTTACTGCCGTCTATAAATGTCAATCCCCCATAGAATTGGCTCTGTCTTTTGAGGATCTTGCGGGATCCTCCATAGACCTCCATTACTGTACTCTTACGCATGCTTGAAAGTACAGCAGTGACGCCTGCTCCTGGCACTGAAAAGGGCCTGCCGGAAAAGGATGGCGCCCACAAGGGACTGGTTCAGGTAAGTAGAACTCACCTTTCCATGGCCACCGGAACTCCAGTGGCAATGTCAACATCTTGGGGGTCTTTGCAAATTCTGCAGAGATTCCCAGACTCCATGTTGCTGGAAATGCCATTGACAAAGTTATCCACAGAATATTTTCCATGGTGAGCAGAACCATTATTTAATTAAGCATTGTCATACCTATACACCATGTAAATCAAAAGAAGGAAAATATTTAGGGTGGGGCACTTGCCCTTTATTGCCCTCGGGAGATGAAGCCCTTTGCTAAGGTTAAAATCATTCTGAAATAGAAACTGCAGACTAGGAATTACTGCTAAGTGATGACATCTTTCTATTCTTAAAGTGGTCTTTTCAGATGGTGACCTTATTTAAAATGGACACTGATGTGTAAATGTCATATCGTGTTATTGGCAGGTGACCGAGCTGGCAGGCTACACCGCACGCGTTCATGACATGTTTGAAGTGTTTGAAGATGTGCAGAAAGGAGTCTACAAACGCCCAGGAGAACTGGTAGAGGCTGATCCCAAGGATGGAGAGTTAATCCGACATGGCATTCGCATTGAGGGGCCCCTGGAGATTAAAGGTATATTCCAAAAGCGCCATGAGTGTTTTAACAAGAGAAATGAACACTCCTGAGACTTTTTTTTTTTTTTTTTTAAACCCATTTTAAAAGCAGCTTGCATAAATACTGAGCTCATGTTCTCCACCATGTTTTCCAGACCTCTCCAGACAATGAATATCTTTTTCCTCAAAAATTTCCCAACTTGGCACAACCAAATAACCAACTCTATAGACCTCTGTAGATCCTACATCCCGTGCCATCTCTCCCTCCACAATGTTACTGCCACATTTCCCTGACAATTAACCCCCTGACTACCCAAAATTGAAACATTTGCAGCTCAGACACAATCCGTGTAGTACACAGACACATGCCATGCAACACACAGGCATTTTATACAGTTAACAGACTCTCCACATGTTTCAAATTTTGCAGACAAATGAAATTCATTTGATAAAGTACGGCACCAAGATGGCAAACAACCTTTAAGAATTCATCTCTGCTCACCTCTGCTGGGACCCACACTGCTCTCCGTCCCCAGATGGGTGGCCAAGAGTGCGCCCCTAAACTCTAAAAGGCCTTTGTGCTATTGAACATGCAGAAGTTCCACCCCTCCCCCTTATCTATGTTACATTTTGTATGCCAATTGCTTGTTTTTACATATCCCCATTCTATAATTGTTGAGCACTGTGGAATATGTTGGTGCTATATAGATGCTAATAATAACAATCCGTACTACTGCACTATAAAAACGGGAAAAACGTGCAGGTCGGGTATTGCCGATAGTGATCTATTTTCTGCGTAATTGCAAAGCCTGTAAAATCTCCATTTTGTTAACTTGTGATCTCAGCATAACGCTCTTGACCAGTAAAGTTAAGCCTGGTTTTAAATTGATAATGATTCAGAAGTCCAGAGGCATTACCTTCAGAAAACAAAGACATTTTTGGATAGTGATTGTGTTCTAAACAAGCTCTCTATTCTGTTCAAAGTTTAGAAACCGTTTTTAAAAAAATAATTAAGGCCTCATTTTAGGTATTTTTTGTTTTAGTTTCCAGCTTTCAAGGGTTTGTTTTTAAGTTTTATTGGATGTGACTTTTTACTTTCATTGATACTTCTATTAATAGAAGAGTGTTCTAGAGTAACCTGGAGTTTGACAGTAATTCACAAAGACTTTGCACACTTTCTTCCAATAAGCCCTATATTTTGATCTTTGATCCATTTTATTGGCCTGATTTTATTATGCATAGTTAACATTTTTTTTCCAATTCTGCCTAAAAGAAGGGAAGAATCCTACTCCATTCCAAATAAAAAAAAAAATCCCTCGAATTAACCCCCTCTCAATTTTTAAAGAGTTACTCCATGCACCATGACTACTTGAGTGAGCTGAAGTGGTTAAGGTGCCTCGAGTCTCTATGTGCAATGTTTTGCTTTGAAACGCAGCACATACTGGGATTAACCACTTCGCTACTGGTGATTTACCTCTATCTCTAGCAGTGTCATTAGCCAGTATGGAACTTTGCCCTGGGCTGGCCAATGACCCTGCTAGAGATGGAGGTAAACCACCAGTAGCGAAGTGGTTAATCCCAGTATGTTCTGCGTTTCAATGCAAAACATTGCACATAGAGACTCGAGGCACCTTAACCACAATATTGGCATTTGACAGCCAATGTTGGCACAGCTCTTCCATGCTACTCTTGTCCTCTCCATCTTACCTTACATCCTGCCACGTCCAGTGATGGAATGATGTCAGCCAATGAAAATCAGGCTGAGGGAGAACTTGGCCTCATTGAGGGAAAATAGGTATTTTCTCCATTTTTTTATTTTGTTTTAGATGAGGAATCCTCTGGAGACAGACTTGTGCCATGTTGTCCTTGGATTTGTTTACATTGCTAGGCTTTCAAGAACCCTAGTTTATAGAGCATTTTAAAGACTAGAGCAATTTTTGCAATCTGTGTTCGGGGCTAGTTTCCTTAGCACTTATTTGTTTTTTTTAAAAAAATGTTTATTCTTATTTAATTTTTTTGTGCAGAGATTAATTCACTATCTCTTTATGACATGTCAACAGAGGTACACAAAATAAGAGAAATGACAAGGATGTAGTAGGACATGTTGATAGAACTGCATATTTTGTAGAAATTAAATTTATCATGCGGAATGTGCTATTTGTGTAGATGCATTTGCAGAAAGAAAAACGTCCAGAACACAGTTCTATGTGGGTAAAACAAAGGGACTTGCATGCATGTTAAATAAGAGAACCATGAATAAGTGGCAAGACATGCATTTGTGTAAACCACTGGGTGAAAGCAGACGGCAGATGCAGGTAGATTGTAGTGTGCGGCCATGGGTGATATATCCAGGTTGTAAGCTGGGAGGGTGGAGGAGTTAGCCGATTCCTACTGGGGGTGAGTCCCCATCTCCATCAAGAGTTTCTCCCCAGGCAGGCATTTTGACCCGCAGTCAGGACTTGTGCCAGCCAGCTGCATGTCTCGCACAGCTGATAATACGAGTGGCAAGTCTCTATGTGTAAGTGTGTGTGGAGATTGTACCATGCTAGTTAGCCCGGTTTCGGGGAGGGTTGCAGCATGTATAGTTGCCAGAATAATGAGGTGCCGACTGTCGCTGCTTTGGCGGCTTCTTGCGCCGTCTCCTCCGCAGTACCCAACCAAGGAGATGTGGGAACGACCCTTTCAAGCTGCGTCGTCTTTTGCGGCTGCCCTTGAGGGCTACAACTCTGCTCGCAGGAGTAGAGATGAGTCCCCTTTTATAAAGCTTGGCCTTGGCAGATGCGTCAAAGTGTAAGAGAAGGTGCTTCCGGCTGCAGACTGGCCATCTTGAGAACTAGGCCTCAGTCCCCGGGTTCGGCCGTAGGCTGGATTGTTTGTCGACAGGACTTTGCCAATATACCAGTGGGGTACGGGATATCCTCCGCCGCTCCACAGAGGGGACGGGGGAATGGGAGCTTAAACAGGTATGTGACAGAACAAGGCTGAGGAGCGGCCGCCTCCCTGTGTGTGGCTGCAGGAATATCAAGCACAGGTTTTGAGTGCCAGATGCAGGCAGACAAGTAGCATATAATCAGCAGGGTACTCCCCAGGGTGGCATACAGGGTTTCTGCCTATATTTGGGATAGTTGTGTTGAGTTTCAGACTCAAAAGGTTGATTCCCCCGAGGAGCTCTAGCACCGTGAGACCGTCCTGGTAGGCTGTCAAGCCCCACCCCCAGCACTCATACAGTTAAACCTCATAAATTTATTTATTTATTTTATGCCGTGCGTTTTTGGGTTCTTTTTTGCATTTCCTTTGCATCTAGTACTTCCTCATTACATTGTGACTATTTTGTGTAGTAGTGCTGATTTTCTGTAAATATCCAATTTTTTCAGCCTGCTTTCACTAGTGCAATGCTTCACATCTGCAAGGTGTCTGTCTGTCTGTCTATCTATTTTGCTTCTTATTTTGGATGGTTTATAAGTTCTCGAATGGAAATGCTCATCACACTCCTATCATCACCACGAACAAATGTATCCACTACCAAGATAAACAACTTGCATATATAATCGAAACATATAATATTTAATAAGATATATTTCCTTTTAACTACTTGCATCACCACTTCTGTTTTGGGGGGGAGAGAGGTTCTGTAAAGTTGTTTGTTTGTTTGTTTTGTTTTTGTTTAATTTTATTACTAGAACTGGATGGCAGTAACCACAGTCTCACTATTTCAATAATTTAGCCCTTCTTTGTACATTTTTGGATATCGTGGTGGCAAAGTAACTTGCTGTGAATGGGGTTCACACACTTTTGCGACTCTTGCTATCCAAATGGCCTCAAAGTGGGGATCGGAACTAGTTTACATAATTATGTATGAAAGGAGAACTTTTCCAAATATCAGCTGGAACTAAAGAACCAGTCTTAAACAAAATAACCTTTACAGCCAAGTGTAGAGTTATGGTGCTAAAAAAGTGTCTTTTAAATGTCTAGCGTTTTCGATACTTTAATTTTAATCTCAACAAGTTTAGAGTACATCATTCTGAGCCAGGAAGGAAAGTAGCCAGGTTCGTGCTCATTCACCGCTTCTACAAAAGACCGATTTGATTGACAAACAATGGGGAAAACTATTCCGCCCCATTACATCACTAGGAAGCTGCAGTGTGATAGTCACTAAGCTGTAGTGGTTCTGACGTTATTAAGCTGTCCCTGAAAACGTAACTTTTATATCCCACTGTCACACGTTTTTGTTGCTTTTATCTTAATCTGCTTGTCACTTTAACCACGATTTCTTTCCCAACAACAATTCTTCTGATCGGATTTTTTATTTTTTTTAAATAATCTCTAGAAAACATTCCGGCATGTACATTTTTCATTTCTACACAGATATCTACTCCTCTCCGTTTGTACCTTAACTATTTGCAGTCATTGCTTGATACCTTAAATAATGGTTGGAACCATTTGGCTGCTATGTAGAACCTTCATCATCATTATTTAAGGGGTTAATATTTGTGGACTCTCAGGAATTGGCCAATTTCCAGAGTTCAGGGCCGGATTAAGAGCCCAGTGGGCCTGGTGCTGACAATTATGATGGGCCTAATTACAGAATCTTATCAACCAAAAACACTAAAACAATCATACCTCCCAAGCGTCATGTATCTGATGGAGATGGTGCTGGAGGGAAACTCATAGGATGCAGCTATAAGAAAACACATACTCTATGCTAATCTCTCTCTAATTTATGCTTTCATCTTTCAAGTAAATACATACCCCCTAACAGCAGTGTCCAGTGAAGCAGGAAGTCAATGGGCGGGGTAAAAGGGTGTGCTACTGGTGCGAATCACGTGACAAGACCTGCCAAAAGGGGTGAACATGCCCAAAAGGGGGCATGTTTGTCCAAAGAATTGGAAGGTTAGCCTGGCATGAATGCATGTCAGGCTGCCTCCCAATCCTGCAGGCTGTCCAACTAAGGGCATACTATACAGGCAGCACCTTGAGCTTGACATAAATGCGTCTAATGATGATGCGCTCACTCCATTCTTTCTAAGGACTGTCCCCTAGCACTCGCTGGTCCACTTGTCTCCTTATCTTCTTACTAGCAGGCAGAAGTTCCTGGTATATAGTCTGAGACAGAGAAAAGTTGTCTGTAGTGAGTGTAGAAGAAAGGGGACATGCCACAGTGTTAGAGAGACCAACGTCTGCATTACCTAAACTAGCCAGTGCACACAAGTTTTGTTCCCATACATCCCTCTTAAGCTTCCAAACTTAAAGGAACACTATAGTCCCAGAACAACTACAGCTTATTGTATTTGTTCTGGTAAGTAGAATCATTCCATTCAGGTATTTGCAGTAAACACTGTCTTTTCAGAGAAAATAACTCCACTGGCCGCTCCTTAGATGGCTGCTAGAGGTGCTTCCTGGGGCAGTACTGCCTAGTGTGCAGCACTGCCATTCAGTGTCTCCACCCTCTGCATGCAGACACTGAACTTTCCTCATAGAGATGCATTGATTCAATTTATCTTTATGAGGAGATGCTGATTGGCCAGGGCTATGTTGGACTTGTGCTAGCTCTGCCCCTGATCTGCCTAGTTGACAGTCTCAGCCAATCCTATGGGGAAGTATTGTAATTTGATCAGACCACCACTTCTGAGCCAGCAGCTACAGAATTGAATACAAGTAATATTTTACTATATTTAGGGAGGCAAGAAGGGGCAAGGGTGGTGGTTTTAACATAATAGGGTCAGAAAAACATGATTGTGTTCCTGACCCTATAGTGCTCCTTTAAGCAAGAGTATGTGAAGAGTAGTTAAGGTTTCCACTTTTCTTGGAAAAAAATACCAGCCTTAATCATTTGTATAATTAATTAGTTATGCGTGACATCACATGATGTAAATCACAAGGAGTGACATCAGAGAAAATTCTGTAAAATCACCAACAAACTACTCACAGTTTGATTCTGCTGTATAGATGGATTGCTCCCAGTGTCTCCCTGTCTTCCAGTGTCTCAGTCTCACAAGTCACCCAGTGTTTCAGTGTCCCTATGTATCACAGTGTCAGTGTCCCCATGTCACCCAGTCCCCTAGTCTCCCAGTGTCTGTGTCCCCATTTCTCCCAGTGTCCCAATGTCTCAGTGTGTCCCCATGTCATTAGGATGCTGGGGACACTGGGAGACATGGGGACACTGGGAGACATGGGGACACTGGGAGAAATGGGGACACTGAGACACTAGGGACACAGACACTGGGAGACATGGGGACACTGAAACATTTGTGGACACTAAGACACTAGGGACACAGACATGGGAACACAGACACTGGGAGGGGACACTGGCTGGGAGACAGACACTTGGGGACACTGGGAGACATGGGGACAATTGTGGACATAGACATGTGGACACTGGGACATATAGGGACACTGGGAGACATGGGGACACCAGGCACACTGAGACACTAGGAACACAGACACTGGGAAACATGGAGACACTGAAACATTTGGGAACACTAAGACACTAGGGACACAGACACTGGGAGACTAGGGGACACTGGGTGACTAGGGGACACTGGGAGACTAGGGGACACTGGGAGACTAGGGGACACTTGGGGAGACATGGGGACAGTTGTGGACATAGACATGAGGACACTGGGACACATGGGGGCACTAGGCACACTGAGAGGCATGGGACACAGACACTGGGAGACTTGGGGACACTGAGACACTAGGGACACTGGCTGGGGGACATAGTGTCTCCGTGTCCCAATATCTCCCAATGTCCCTATGTCTCACAGCGTCCCCATGTGTCTCAGCATCCCCATGTGTCCCCTAGTGTCTGTGTCCCCATGTTTTCCAGTGTCCCCAAGTGTCTGTGTCCCCTAGTGACAGTGTCCCCATGTGTCCCCTAGTGTCTGTGTCCCCATATGTCCCCAAGTGTCTGTGTCCCCTAGTGTCTCAGTGTCCCCATGTTTTCCAGTGTCCCCAAGTGTCTCAGTGTTCCCAGGTCTCCCAGTGTCTGTGTCCTAGTTTCTCAGTGTCCCCTAGTGTATGTGTCATCATGTGTCCCCTAGTGTCTGTGTCCCCTAGTGTCTCAGTGTCCCCATATGCCCCCTAGTATCTGTGTCCCCATATGTCCCCTAGTGTCTCAGTGTCCCCATGTGTCCCTGCTGCCTTACCCCCCATCCCTCACTTACCTGAGCTGTAGAGCTGCTGTCTGGACTCTCTGTGCTGTGTAGCTGCTCCCCCACGGATCAGTGAGTAGAGATAGGCAGGGAGGGATATGCTGTTACTTCCTATCCCTGCCTCTCTCCACACACAGTGACCCCTACTGGCCGGTGCTGGTATTGCAGAGTAATTTCCAATTATTATGAGAAAATTACCTGCATTTGTATTGCCAGTATTACTGCAATACCGGCACGGCCAGGCAGCCTCAAATACCGTCTGTGCCATTAAAATACCAGTCAGGTGGCAAACCTAAGAGTAGTGTGTAAAAAAAAAAAAAAAATTTTTTTTTTTTTTTTTAAATGGGCCTATTCCATGGGCCTGGAGCTGCAGCTCCATCAGCCCCTATGTTAATCCGGCCCTGCCAGAGTTCCCGATATGTTCTTCAGAACACTTGAGGTGAAGGATACTTCAAATTAAGTTGAATTATCCACATCTTTTATAGAGCCAAACATTATAATTTAAACCCTACGGACCTGTATGCTCTCTCTAGAATGACCAAACAAGGCTTTCAGAGTTTCTTGAGGGATATGACGTTGTCTATCCTGGTGTTATTTATATTTTAGTTCTTTAAACAACTAATATTAAAGAGCAACAACTATTAAAGCAACACACTGCAATCATAACTGTCTGATCAAATCCAACAACATCCCACCAACATTAACAGAAGTACATTTAAAAATTAACCTTTATTTCAGACTTTTAAATTAATCCAATTTCTTACTAATAGATTTTAATTTGCCTTGTCTTCATTTAGTGCTCTGTTGTTTTAAAGTATATTCTTTTTAAAATATTATAAATCTTAGACAGAACTTCATTTAACACACTGATGTGATCTCTGATTTGTACTGCCATCTCCTGTCAAATCTATGCCGGGGGGGGGAGGGGTTCCAATTCCATGCAATGTTACAGTATTAATACATTTTACATCATTGTATAACAATAGGATTAACTACAAACATTAATAATTACAAATCTGTGGCATCAAATTATATTCTCAAATAAGCCAAACCTGACACTTCATTTCCCATGATGCTACACCAGTCTCATGACTGGCTGATTTTGTGAACAGGGTAATTTAGACATCGGTAGAGCTAAAGGTAGCCATGACTAATATATAGTAACAGAGATTAGTCAGTAATTTAAAGTGACCCTATAGGCACCCAAACCACAGCTCAATAAAGTGGTCTGGGTACCATGCCTCTGTAGTTGTAACCCTGCAAGTGAAACATTGCTATTCACTGCAGGGTTTGACATGCCTCTAGTGGCTATTTCAATCAGAAGGTGTCATTAGATTGGCTGAGATCATCAAGAGGTTTGGTGACCGTGGACAGAGTAGCATGGCATGGTGGGGGGATTAACATTAAAGGACCACTATAGGCACCCAGACCACTTCAGCTCAATGAAGTAGTCTGGGTGCCAGGTCCATCTAGTTTTAACCCTGCAGCTGTAAACATAGCATATGTTTCACTGAGGGTTAATCCAGCCTCTAGTTGCTGTCTCGCTGACAGCCGCTAGAGGCGCTTCCGTGAGAAGATGCTGGACGTCCATAGGAAAGCATTGCGTAATGCTTTCCTATGGGCGGTTTGAATCCGCGCATGCGCATTCGGATCTGACGTCAGCAGGGGGAGGAGAGGCTGGATAAAGATTAGTGGCTAAAGGGATTTTAACCCCTTCAGCCCAGTGGGATAGGGGCCCTGAGCGTGGGGTGGACCTAATGACCCTATAGTGCCAGGAAAACGAGTTTGTTTTCCTGGCACTATAGTGGTCCTTTAATGGTGACGAGGACATTATAGCGTTAGGAATACATTTTCCTAATGCTACAGTGTTCCTTTACCAGTATGGATAATTTCCTAGTTTGTTTCTTGCTTACAATGACCATTAATCCTTGAGTATGTTTCTCATTGTTTTTGTTTTTTTTCCCTTTTAGGAAAAATTGTGGATGTGGAGAATGGTATAATTTGCGAGAATATTCCTATTGTGACTCCAACAGGGGATGTTGTGGTTGCTAGCCTTAATATTCGGGTAAGTGTGATGAGATTTTATTTTGGCTGTAAAAGACTTTCATAAACCATTGTCATTGAAAACAAAGGATGATTTTGATTGGCCAAAACCACTAGGTAGCATGAGAATCTGTTGATTGGATTAAAATCCCAAACTCTTCAGAAAATACATGGATGGGAATATACTAACAGCGGATTCTTGTCTGTTATAAAATGCTGTATTCCTTACAAGTTCTGTAACTTTTACCTGAACATATGACCTTGTCCAAATATCTTAATATTCTCTCTCTGGATAATCCAGTTGCTCTATGCTTCTTGTGACATTCTTCAACTGTAAAATTTACAGTTCTTCAATTTAAAATAGTATGTGTTCAAATAAATTCTGCAAAGCACCTTCCATAAACTGTTACCAGTGTCAACTAGATCTCCACGCCAATGGGAACGGCCCTGTTATTAAAGTGGAGATCAAGTGAAAAGGCATGGAATCCAGTTTGGAGACCCAAGCCGACGATTATCATTTATCTTAAACCCAAACGGAAGAAATTCACCTTTTAATCTGTCTAGCAACACGATGGATATTATGATCCTATACTGGAAATCCCTGCACCAAAACATTCATTGAAAATCCAGTCTTGTTATGAGTTTTAAATATGCCACGTCGATAAGCAGCTGACCTGTAAAAACCCTTGGCACCTTTTCCCTAAATCTGACATGTCTGTGCCATAAACACAATCAGTATTTCTGTGTGTGTTATCCTTTTTCCCCCCTCTGATAACTGTCTAGATAGAAAGATTAAAAGCCAACAATTGCGCCCAATAGCCTAATTTATGCAAACCTTTGCCAAGGAATTTATTGATGCAGCAGAAACCGTTATCTAAGTAGGTGATAGTTACAATATGATCTTGTTACTGCCAAGCAAAGTGCAGCTACATGTACTTGAAATTCTGTTTTAAATAATAATTTTAAGGGAATGAACCTGATAATCTGCAATTGTGTGATCAATGTCCATTGAGTAGTGATAGTGAGGAGACAAAGTCAAATGTCCAAAGGCCTGCTGGTGATGGAACATATTTATATTAAAGCATTTCATATCTCCGCTTATCGCTTGTCAACAGTCATGGCCTTACAAATGGCATTTGTTTACACCATCTGACAATGATAGCTCTGTTTATGCAGTACCTATTCTGAAATGCTGCACCATGGTTCATTTTCTTCAATGAATTAAATGTTTTAACAGAGTATAATAAGTATCTAGTACAATCAGTATTGAAATTCAGTACTGGCTGCCCTGTTCCCCTCTTGGGTGAGGAATAGGGGACTCCTAAACATCCTTTCCTTTGATATGTAGACTCTACATTTTGATGGAATCCTTTTGATTTCTTTAAGGAATTACATCTAAATGGGTTTCTAGAGTAGTTAAAATAAAATTAATTGTAATTAAAGCACCACTAATCTCAATGTGTATGTGTGTGCGCACGCTAGTTTGTGTGTATGTGTGTGTTTAATTTGTGGCGTTGGATAGGGGCTGTTGGGAATGGGTGAGCAGTTTTTTAATTTGTAGTTAACTCCCTCCCTGCCTCTTACCTGTAGCCAGGGAGGAGGACACTAGATTCCCTGTTCGTCCGGTGCCACAGCAGATTGTATAGTAAGGAGGGGGCCAAGGAAACTCCATGCGTCAGCCAATCAGCAGGTTCTCTCCTTCTCTCACAAGCCTGGCATGCAGCAACGCTATGAGAAGCAGAGCTCATGCGAAAACACAGCTAGAAGTGGAACTTGGAGTCTCCCGGATAATATATATATATATATATATATATATATTATAAACATTGAGAGTATTGTCCCCGGGCCCCATACAGCTTTATTGGCTGTACTCCCCCTGATGGTGGCTCTGCCTGGAGTGTAAAACATTGCATTTTGTTTTGTTTTTTTTTGAATCTGCAATGTTTACATTTCAGGGGTAAATCCACATTTAATAGCGGTCATACTGACAGCCACTTGAAGCGCTTCTGCGGGACTGACTGAATAAAACTCTGTCACTTGACACGAAATAAGCATTGATTCAATGCTTTTCTATGTGGAAGCTTCGCTGTGCACACATCAGGCTGCGCATGCGCAGCAGGTCCCCAATGTTCCTTCATGACGAGCATTAGATTGGCCTATTACTGAAGAGGTCATGCCTCCACTGAGGTGCCGCAGTAGGTGGACAGGTCAGCAGACGGAAAAAGGTAAGTTTTACCCACAAACATATTGAGCTGTGATCTCCAGAATAGGTTGCTGTTGCTATATATTGTGTGGAGTTGCAGCCTTCACTCTAACAGCTTAGTATTCTACCTAACAGGTGGAGGAAGGGATGCATCTACTCATCACTGGTCCTAACGGTTGTGGGAAAAGCTCTTTGTTCCGGATTTTGGGTGGCCTCTGGCCAGCCTACAGTGGGGTTCTATACAAACCCCCTCCTCAGCACATGTTTTACATTCCACAAAGGTAAGTGGCCTTTATATTTGGAGCAACTTTTTATTCTATTATAGGAACATTTAATATTTTTTTTTATTAGAAAACCCTTGGGTTATATCCCCTCTGCATTTGTGAAATCATTTCCCCTACTACAGAAGCCCATCCCCTCTGCTACCACCATTATGTAGGAGATTCACTTCTGCATTTTTCACACGATTCTATATTAACACTTGACAGATGGAGATTCAGGGTATTGGACATTATTAAGGACGCAGTAAAAAGGGTCAAAAATAGCTTGGTTCATACCTGTTCTTTTTGGCTGCACAGGTGTTAATGTACCTTGCGCTTCACAAAGCTGGATTTTCTGCCGTTTATTTTTTTCTTCTGACCGAAGCTAGTTGGCCTACTTAATTTTTTTGCCCTTCTATCTTTGAATAGACATTTTTGCGATTACTATTGTTTTCTTGAAAACAATGAAAATTAGAGAGTGGGGAATGAATTGCAGAATGTAAGAAAAATTCATAAAATGGCTGGGTTTTTTTTTTTCTTGGTACTCGTGCATCTGCCAACAGTTATTGCAGGGCCATATTAAATGAGAATATTGGAGAATCCATCCCTGTTTTTGACTTCAGAACCTGCATTTGGATTCGCCAAGTGCAAAGGATGGGGAGTCCTGCAGTCGCTTTTAAGCCCCTTCTAAATATGTTTCTTACCATTTTCTTGTTCTGCATTTCTACACCTGTACTGCGCCATCTGCTGACAGGATGCATGCACTATTAGCTGTAGGTTTGCCCTCCCAGGAAGAAAATAAACTAACAACATTTGTTTGAGATTGCTTTTTAATGAATTCCCTACAACATCATCTAAAATGTTCATCCTAAAGGGCAGCACTTTTTACATGCGGCCACTCAATATGCTTAAAGGACCACTATAGTGCCAGGAAAACATACTCGTTTTCCTGGCACTATAGTGCCCTGAGGGTGCCCCCACCCGCCCGGCTCTGGAAGGGGGAAAGGGGTAAAAACTTACCTTTTTCCAGTGCTGGGCGGGGAGCTCTCCTCCTCCGATCCTCCTCCGTTACGCCCCGACGGCTGAATGCGCTCGCTTTCCTATGGACGCTTCCGTGCTCTCACTGTGATTTTCACAGTGAAAATCACGCAAGCGCCTCTAGCGGCTGTCAATGAGACAGCCACTAGAGGATTTGGAGGAAGGCTTAACCCATTCATAAACATAGCAGTTTCTCTGAAACTGCTATGTTTATAAAACAATGGGTTAAGCCTAGCTGGACCTGGCACCCAGACCACCTCAATAAGCTGAAGTGGTCTGGGTGCCTAGAGTGGTCCTTTAAGCGATGTGTGTTCAGGATGACATGGTGTATCAGACAAAAACAACAATGCCATGCTGATCTTAGATTTGTTTCAGCCTATATATATATATATATATATATATATCCCTTTTTCACCATCCATGTTCTCGAATTAAACTGCTCACTTCCACTATGAGGAGCACAGTCTGTACCTTGTGCAGTATACACATCACAGGTGTGTTTGTGTTTTTAATAGATCATTTGATTTTTAAAAGTGCGGTGGAATTTGTCGGCGCTTTATAAATGATAATAATAAAGGGTCCCTTCAAGCAGCATCACATCTTTGCATCAAAGAGTGTCTAAGAATTTAAGCAATTAGTTTAAAATCGCTGCAGCTCTAAGCTGCCTCCATGTTGTCAGTCAGGCAGCCTGCTAAGAGCCTATACGTTTACCGCAGCTCTGCCGATAGCTAGTCATGGCCATAAACTTATAGAAGCTCCATTATAACTATTATCAGATTACAGAGCGTTCGCCCATCCTGCATGGTGAGTGGAACTGTTCTTGGGGATAAATTACTTATCCTTTAAACCTCTACTGGCGGTTATTTATGCAATAAAAGTCTCTCGGAGTAACTTTTCTGTTTTTTATACTTCTACTGCATTTCTCATGTTTTATTTTTATATTTCATTTTTAAAATGTAACATTTTAATTTCTATTTAACTGTATTCTCGTTACTTGCAGGCCATACATGTCCGTAGGAACTCTTCGGGATCAGGTCATTTATCCTGATACTGCAGATGATATGAGAAGAAGAGGCTTTACTGACAAAAACTTGGAAGCCATACTGAATATTGTGAATCTATACTACTTGGTGCAGAGAGAGGGAGGTGAGTGCACCCAATATCCACTGCCTCAATGAGAATTGTTGGGGATTCAAAGTGAGTATCAAATTTAAGGCCAAAATGAAACCGAATCGATTTTATTTCTTTTTTCCCCCTAAATTTTGAAATTTTATTTGAATTCCTGACAATTCTCCCTTTAGTGAATTAACCCTGTTTAAATACCTAACACTTCTCACTTTTACTCTGATAGAAGTCAAAACCACACATCCGTCAACTGGGTGTTCTAGTCTCCAAATTCCTTCTCTCTTCCCATATTCATTTCCGCCCCTACTGTAGGATGGCTTAACTATTCTTCCACTGTTCTATGTAGCAGAGACTTAAAAATGTGAGGGTAACAATAATACACTAACTTTCTAACCATTACAATTCACCTGTAAAAATGCTTTTTAAACATGAAATTATTTTGGGTTTATTCACTAAACTCGTAATTGTACTGAAATTGGTAAAAATGTTAGCGAAATGGTTTCTTATTACCTAGACTGCCTGTCCTCCTTCTAAAGTAGTCTATCCCTCCTCCTGTGGTGCCCCAGACTTTTACTCTCAAAGTTCTGGGCACTCACACTTAGGTGTGGGAAGAGTAGAAGTTTAATTCATGGAAGAAGCCATGCTACCTTAAAAATATATAAATAAAAAGCTTGCGTTTTTTTTGTTTGTTTTGTTTTTGTTAAATTCTTTATTTTTGTAGTGCGTAGGCATATAACAATTGCATGTGAGGTACCCCAAAGGCATTCCTCTAGCACAATACGAACAGTTGAACATAGGGGTACAAGGGAGATCAAGCACATTTTTTATATACAAGGGTAGAAACAGCATAGCTTTACTTTGTTTAGGCATTTGCGTAACATTTGCATAACATAACTTTCTAGACATGTGATTATTTTGCAGTGGCAAGAGCTAGTCAAGCTATGAGTAGGTTACCACATGCGTTAAAAAGAAAGGTTGAGTGAGTCAGAAGATTAGTTATTGCTAGTGGCGGCAGCAGGAGATATGGTGATAAGATATGCTGTGACATGGCTGACATAGGTTAGTAACGTGTTGGGTTGAAGCTTGCGTTCTTTTACTGGTCCTTTCCCCCTGCTTCAATTTTACCTGTTTTGCATCTACCCCAAATATTCCCCTACTTACCCTATGAGAGGTGCAGACACACGGACAATCAGAAGGTTCTATGTGTTCAAGTATTAATTTAAAAAAAAATATATTTTAAATGTATTTATTTATAATTTCACATTTGCAGATCTTCCCTTTATCCCAGTGTGGGTTTGGGTGGACATCCCAGAATTTCATACTGTTCTTGTTAATAGGGACATTAATGTCTCTGCTTTGTTATGTATATTAATCTAGACGTTTTTTTTTAAAGATTTTTAGTGCTTACAGACAGATTGTTTTGTTCCAGGTAGGTAAGCATTCAGTTGACCCAGTGTGGTATGTCAAAAATGTCAAGCCCATGCCCTTCGTGTCTTTAGACGCAGATAAGAAATTTGCCAATTAGGAGTGCCCTTATTGATTTACAAAATTAGGATTGCCAGAGAGGTACATGGCGGCTATGTGTGGCTTTAGCTCCGGTGCTTTTCTGTCTCCTTTTCTAAGTCTTGAGAACCTTTGCAACAAAATATTGTAAAATAGGATTCTATAGAATGATTGAATACAGTTAGGGTATAGAGCAGGCATAGGCAACCTTCACCACTCCAGATGTTTTGGACTACACCTCCCATGATGCTTTGCCAGCATTGTGCGGGATGTAGTCCACAACATCTGGAGTGCCGAAGGTTGCCTATCCCTGGTATAGAGTATGTTAACAGTAACGGTGTCTGAATTTAAGATTACCCTAGAAGGAATTGTTGAAACCACTTTAATATTACAGGCACATTTTGGGATGGCGCACCTTGTGTATCTCATATATATTTCGCTGCTTGAATGAAAAATTATTAACGAGGCTTGGCAAGCTTGGTTCCAGCACACAGCTCCAATTATTGCATGCCTTACATTATAGTTATTTACAGTACACTTGTATGAATAAAGCACATATTTCATTCACATCATAAATCCTTCACTGTGCATCGAATAAACCAGTTATTCGGTTACTGATATCATATGCAGCGCTTACAAGACACCCATATCACATGACACCTAGAACACTTTTCTTCCCTACTTTTATTTAGGAACAGGACATCACTTCTGGAGTGCAGGTTTGGGTATTTACCTGGTAGGTGAAGATGTCAGGTGGAGAAAGATGGAAGAGGCAGTGTAATATCAGTGCACACAGTATATTCCTAATGTTACTGTCATAGAACTGCCTGCAAAGTACCATGTGTTGTATAGATAACACTGCAGAGCAACACTGATATTAAACCGTCATCTCCACAATAATGGGGTTTCTATACTGATTGTTCTAAACTACTGCCACACAGTGAACTTAATTGTTTATAATATAGGAATTTTAGGGTTTATTTCAAACAGAGGTGGAGAAATATAAAAAAATAAAAAAATCTTAAAGTGACACTATAGGCATATGGACTACTTCTTCTCAATGAGTTGCTCTGGAGGCCATGTCCTGCAATGTAAAACCGTGCCATTCTCCAGTAATGGTGGTGTTTTCAGGTTTAAATGCCTCTAGTGGTTGTCACTCTGACAATGGCAGTGCAGTGTAGGATAAAAGGTAAGTAACATGGGTAAAATACCTTTTTAGCCCTTGCGGGTGGGAACGGGACCTGAAAGCTGACTAGGACACTGTAGCGTTAGGAATACTCATTTGTATAAGTAATGAAAAAAAACATTGTATTGTGATTAGTTAGAAATAACACAGCTAGAGCTACAAAAATGTGACTCTAAGCTATCTGCAGCACAAAGCTCAGTAACGTGGATGATGCTGGATAGTAATGTGAAGAGATCTGGTCACACCATGCACTTTCCTCCTTAGCTTTGCCCTAACTGCTTCCTATGGTTTCCATACAGGTTGGGACTCTGTCAGTGACTGGAAAGATGTGCTGTCTGGGGGAGAAAAGCAGCGTGTTGGAATGGCTCGCATGTTTTACCACAGGTTAGATCTTCCTAATGTTTATTAAAAAAAAATATTACTGGACTTTCTTTGCTTTTAACCTGGCATCAGACCACAGCAGATCTTCTGTACACAAAATAAAGTACACTTCTAACTGTACGTGCTCTTTACTTGCCCTTAGTAATCTATTAAACCTACTCACATATTTACAGCACAGCCGTAAGTGCCTCTATTTGCTTTACGTCAATGAATGGTTACACTTTTTCCATATGGAGAAGCTGTGCTCCTTCCATAAGAGACTGGGATGGGCTGTACTCTTTCATCCATTTCTTCCTTTGGACCTTACAGAAGCTGCTTTTATATGTGTATGTAAGTTCACATGTGGAGTCATTGAATTTGTCCATCTCTCTTATCTGCAGACCTAAATATGCTCTCCTGGATGAGTGCACCAGTGCTGTTAGTATTGACGTGGAAGGAAAAATTTTCCAGGCTGCAAAGGATGCTGGGATTGCACTCTTGTCTATCACTCATAGACCCTCTCTCTGGTAAGTTTTCAGATACAAGTAGTTTTTAAATCCAGCACAAAAGCACTTTTCCTGATCAAACCGTGGCAGTGTTAACTAAATTGTTTCATAACTCCCACTTGCAGCAGTTCGACAGAAAACACGTTTTAATTCAAACGAGAATGCACTGAACTCTTTAATAGGGTGTTATGGATTTCGGTTCCACCAAAACTAGCCCAACGGCCAAAAAAGAACCAAATTAAATGGTCCAGCACTACTTAGATGTGTGTTGCTATTGTCTGGTGCCAACAGGTGATGGGTAGAGTTTTGTTGCAATAAAGGGCCTTTATCAAACATGGTTAAGATCTTTTTCAAATCTTCTATAAATTTTCTATTGGACTTTTACTTGAGGGCATCAAATAAAACAGAAATTGAAGGAGTGCTGGACTATTTTATTTTTTATGTGTTTTTTTTTTTTTCTTTCTTTCTAACAGGAAGTCTTATTTTCATGTTCTTCACAACAATAGGATGTAGCCAAGTTTTTATTTCATGCCACTAGATCACAAAAGTAAAATTTAAGTTCAGTCCAGCTTCTCTATCTCTCTCTTCCTGGAGACTTGGTGCATGCATCCCCATTTGATTCATTGAGTATTCCTATTTTGTGTCTGGGTATTTGGTCAAATTTTCTCCTTGAGTAGATAACTATAGCATTTGTACCTATTGGTTCTTCCATAGAGGGAGGCTGCTCTATTCAGAACTATTGGCCCTTTCATGGAGGGTTGCTGCCATATGCAAAGCACATGATATTTATAACCATATTTTCATGATCACATGATTATGTCCATTTTAAGTAACCGTTCCTTGTTCACTTGTGCCAGTAAACCTTTGACGCTGGGTTTTACTTTTTAACACAGTAGTTGGTGGTATGCTGCCACCATCTACTGGCCGTTTTAAGAATTACACTTCGTGTAATTCTGAATGAAGCCTTGTTCCCAGTCGATTGTATAGAGATCGGTGCTGTGCAATTGACATAGCCCAGCACTGGTCCCAATCGGCTGGGGACAGGCTGGGAGACCCTGCTGGGGTCTACTAAAAGATACCTACACCCTAGAAAAAAACGTGGCTAAGTTATAGGGCGTAGACTGCTAGACCTACACAGAGCTCATTGGTCAGTCTGGGGTCACTAAAAATTACCCCATCTTACATACAAGAGTCCCAGGTATCCAGGATTTAACCCTGCTCAGATCGTCAAGTAGGCATGTAAACAGCTGTTTGCAGCTTTGGCTTCCAGCACTGAAAGGAGCTCATCTAAAAGTTTGGGGCTACTTGATATGGCCCCAGCAGACAGAGGGGAGCCCCAGGTGTCAGGTTGATTTAACCCTGCTAACGCCAATTATGGATGATGTTCTATGCCGCCCTACAGTCTTTTAAGTCCACTTTATGTAGGACAGAATAGAATATGCTAACATCCTTAAAGCGAGAGCGTGTATAGTGTTCGGAATACAAATCTGTATTCCTATCACTATTGAACTCTCTTCCTTGCTCATCCTCCTTCCCTCTTCCGGCAGCAAAAGGGTTCTAAAACCCTTTAGTTATTTACCAGATTTCAGCTCTGAAGTTCCTTGGCGCTGGGTTGGTGTACCGCCTCTGACATCATCGGGGGGGAGTGGGGGTTAATGCGCATGCGCCACTAGTGCACTAGGCAGTCCCTTTAGGAAAGCATTGCTTCAGTGCTTTCCTATGGGGATGTATTTGTGCAGAGCGTGAGGACGTCCAGCGTCATTTAGGCGACCAAAAGTCAGTTGGCAACCAAGAAGCACTACAGGCAGTTTTAGTCCTGCAATGTTATCATTGCAGTCTCTCAAAAACTGCATTGATTACATTGCAGGGCTAAATGGGACAGGAACATTGCACCCAGACCACTTCAATGAGCTGAAGTGGTCTGGGTGCCTATAGTGACCCTTTAAGTGGTTAAAGGTCCATTATAGGCACCCAGACAACTTCAGCTTAATGACGTGGTCTGAGTGCCAAGTCCCTCTACTATTAACCCTGCCTACTGTAAACATAGCAGTTTCAGAGAAACTATGTTTACAAATAAGTTAATCCAGCCTCTAGTGGCTGTCTCGTTGACAGCCGCTAGAGGAGCTTCTGCGCTTCTCACTGTGATTTTCACAGTGAGAAGACGCCAGTGTCCATAGGAAAGCAGTGAGAATGCTTTCCTATGGACTGGCTGAATTCCGCGCATGCGCATTCAGCCGATGACGGCCAAAGGAGGAGGAGAGTCCCCAGCACCGAGGGAGCCCGGCGCTGGAGAAAGGTGAGTTTTTAGCCCCCTTCCTCTCCATTCAGCCCGGCGGGAGTGGGAACCCAAAGGTGGGGGTACCCTCAGGGAACTATAGTGCCAGGAAAAGGAGTTTGTTTCTTGCTCAATTTGGCACGTATGTATGTGGAAGTGTTTCATATTAAGTAATCTTCTATTATCAATCTTCTACAAAGCTCTGAAAAGGGGCTGTACCAGCACTTCCACAAACTTGCAAAGCACTCTCCATGCACCTTCATTTGTGGTTTGAGAGAAGGTCCGTGCGGCTTTCCTTGCAAGCAGATAGGTGTACTACAATTCCGTTAAACCCTAATTGTGCAGAATTCTATAGAATACAACTCTGCTTCCATAGAAAGTTAAGTGAGCCAGGTTTCACCCACCTCCTGCTCTGCTGAGAGTTAGTTACAGAAGCTGCAAATATAGATTTGAGCAAATACAGGCACTTTTGAGATTTTTTTCCCCTTGCTTTTGTGTTATGTATGTAATGCATATTTCGATGAAATACACTCTTTTGCCACTAGGTGGTGCAAACGACATTAAAACGTGTACACGTGCAGACGTTTTGTGTTGAGTAAAATGTCTTCTACTAGGTTAATTCTGTTTAACCCCTTACGGACACAACTTCCGAATATTTCAGTCATGTGTCCTTAAGGGGTTAAACAAAATATGGAAAGCATGTCTCATAAGTAATTTGAGATTTGTTTTAAATATGCTTATTGTCATCAATGTAAACACGGGTGTTGAACATGGTATTATTAATGCATATACTTGCCTACGCAGAGGCGTGCATATTGAAAGTGTACATAATGTGAGGCCGACATATTCCAGTTAGCTCAGAGTAACACATAGTTGCCTGCGCAGAGGCGTAGAAGTCAAAATAAACACGCAATGACAAATATTAGATATTCATAGGCCTTGCAAAGCTAGACATGCAGAAGGCGGTGAGCTTGCTTGGTACTGCGTTGTTAGGGCGTTGTTGTCAGGTATGGGGTGGCAGTTAGTAACTTGTATTCAGCTAACAACTCATTGAATGGTGCTAGTGTGGCTCGTTAATGGGTGTTTTCATTAAGGTGCGTCTCGCACATTTTGCCGCTAGGTATGCGACATGGACTGATGTGTTATAGGCTCTCCCCTGCGGGGGTGTGGTCTTAGGTGCTCTGGGTATGGGATCCAGTCGTTGAGTCAGCGGTTTTAAGCAGTGTAGCACTAATGTCATGTAGCCTTGCGTGTGATGTGTCACTGCCCTTGTTCGTGAACTTTAGCTCTTAAGGGTACCATAGATTTACATTCCACACTTTATATTTAACTGACGACTTCCTTATTTGGGGAGTGCACTGTGGGTGACATATTTTAACAATACACTATTTTCTTCTGAGATGCCTGTGTTTGCGTATTTATCCCTGTTACCATAAACTGCAGTGAAGGCCCATCTTGCGAAAATGAGTTAGTGTTTGCGCGCTCTGGCCTTTTGTCTGCAGCCCTGAGTTCTAGTGTGTCTTGTGGCTACCAGCTCGTGTATATTGGGGTTGTATTTGTTTTGTACATTTTGTGTCCTTCCCCTCTGCTAGTAATGATGAAACCTTCTGCGGTAAGTCTGTGTCTCCTTTATTGCGTGTATCCATGGTTATGTCTATGTTGTGTTGCTTTATTCTGGAGCTCTGTGTGTCTGCCCCTAGTGTTTCGTCTTTGTGGTTCCGGTTTGTGTGTCTGAGTCGCTGTCTGTGTGTCGTGGTGCCGTCGCGCTGAGGTGGGTTCGCCTGTGTGCGTGGTTGGTAATTTGAGATTTGTACCTTACATGTGCCATGATCCTTCCTAATTTAATGTCGATTTGAAACCCTAGTTGAAAGAATGTCTTTAAAGAGGCATTCGAGGCACAATAACCACAGCCCATTGGAGCTAGCAGGCTTCTGCTAGATCTGCTATCCAACACTTAACTTGCTCTATTTATGCTGCTGAAATTACACTTCAACATTCGCAATGTCAACATTGTTCATTTAATTCGCTGAGGGTTGTCAAATCGCGGATAAAATTATGATTGCTAATGTGGAACTTTAGCCTCCTCAGTAGTAATACGGCAAACATCATGGACATTGTAGATCAACAACATCTGGGGATCTGAATCGTGACTACCCCTGGTAGCTGCAAAGAATTGTGTAGCGTGTTCAGAATACCCACTGCATTTAAAATGTAATTCTGTAGTTTGACTGACAAGCACGTGCGCACCTGTACCTTAAGGGTGGGGGATCAATTTACGATCCATTTGCTGAATTTCATACAGGCAGAATTAATTCCTGGCAGATTATTTTTTTTAATCTCTGCAGGGTGAAAACCAATGCTGGGGAAAAAGGGGATGTAAGTCAGGTTTTATGAGCTCCATTTCATTCTGCAACGCGGAACAAACATTAAATCGAGTATACTATGTTGTGAGGACAGTATGACTTGTCATCGGTCTTTCATAGTTAAAACTGGTTACATTGAATGCTAAGGCTTACATTTGAGCATGAGTCATACTGGCATTTTTAATGCAGCCTTGGAGTTGATTAGATCACCTTTTTAAAGGAGAGTTTGGTTTATTGAGAGATGGTAACTAGTATTGTAACTCATAAATTCTAGCATTCTAATGGACACATTTTTACATTTGTTATTTTAAGGAGTGTTATTGAGGCACATCTAGGCGGGAAGAGTTATTGAGAGTGTATTACTCTCTTCATGAGGATCTATCAGCTATTTGTCATTTAGTAGGTTATTTAGAAACACATTATATATATCAGTACATTAACACATGTACTACAGTTTAACACACTGCTAGGAACACAGGGGAACATCCACAAGCCATGCATTTTCCCTTTTCTAAAAAACCCTAACCTATAAACAGCCAAACAAAATATAAGTGAAACAAATGTATCTTCTATCTAACAGCTGCTCAAAACCATGTACAAACGCATAAAAATCCGAGATGCATTGGTCAAAAAATAAATATATGTAACCAGTGTTTGAATTAATCAAGAACAAACAAATCCTAGTATAGTGTAAGAGTATTTGAGTTTTGCATGTTTTTCATTTTTTATTTGATTATTTATCACATATGTTTTTTTGGGGGGTGGGTTGCCCAATATGCCACTAATTCTTGTGTTTGTAAATCTAAGGACTTCATGGTAGGGGAAAAGGATTTGATCTTAAACAGTGGCTTTAAGAAATGCACACCTTTAGTTTAAAGGAAAGTTGAAAATTAAAACGGAGGAATGAAAGCGTTGTTTTGTAGAAAGTCCAAATGATTTAATGGAGGTTAAAGGAACACTGTAGGGTCAGGAACACAAACCTGTATTCTTGACCCTATAGTGTTAAATACACCATTTAGCCTTCCCTCCCATTCCCCATCCCCCTAAATATAGTGTAATCTTACTTTTATTTTAGTCTGCTGCTGGCTCTGCCCCTGATCTGCCTGCTTGGCTGACCTCATCAGAACAGGTGATCTCAGCAAATCACAGTGCTTCCCCATTGGATTGGCTGAGCTTGTCAAGGAGACAGATCAGGGGCAGAGCCAGCACAAGCCAAACACAGCCCTGGCCAATCAGCATCTTCTCATAGAGATACAATGCATAAATACAACTCTATGAGGAAAGTTCAGTGTCTCCATGCAGTGGATGGAGACAATGAATGTCAGTCACACTGTGCAGCACTGCCCCAGGAAGCACCTCTAGCAGTCATCTGAGGAGTGGCCAGTGGAGGTATCCCGATGCTGTAATGTAAACACTGCATTTTCTCTAAAAAGACATTGTTTACAGCAAAAAGCCTGAAGGTAATGATTCTACTCACCAGAACAAATTCAATAAGCTGTAGTTGTTCTGGTGACTATAGTGTATATTAAATAGTGTTGATTAAATCACTGTCATGGTTATTCCTTACAGTGTGAATTGTCGTGAAGGTAAAATTTTAAGCCAAATTGGAAACGTAGCTGACTTGGAGAAGGTTTCCAGTTCAGCCTAAATTGTGATATTTACACTGGATTCCTAACAATTCACACTTCAGTGAATACAGCGTTTCTGTTTGCATAGAGTGGGAGACGTTGGTGGAAAGAGATGAATGGAAACCGGAGGGAGGCAAGGGGTTAAATGAACTGTTAACCATCTATAGGCCCTTAATGTAATAATAATGGTAACTCCTATACTGGTATATCACCATGTCTGGAGGTGTTTAGACAAGGGACATCCATAAACAAACAAACATTGAAAGTCTTCTAAAACCTGTTACTTTTCTTTCCCCATTTTCATTTGATGCTCACTTTTCTTTTAAATGTACCTTAAAGGGACACTATAGTCACCCAGACACTTCAGCTCAATGAAGTGGTCTGGTTGCCAGGTCCCCCAGGTTTTAACCCTTCAGATGAATACATAGCAGTTTCAGGGAAACTGCTATGTTTACATTGCAGGGTTAATCCAGCCTCTAGTGGCTGTCTTCCAGCGTGCAGAACGTCCATAGGAAAGCATTCCGCTCCACTCGGGAGCTGACGTCGACGGGGGAGGAGAGGTAACCAGTGCCGAGGGGGGGGGGGACCCAAAGATGATATAGTGTCAGGAACAAATGATAGTGATCCTTTAATGAATTAACATCACAATCCAATTCAATCAAGGCAAAGCCATGGCACGCCATACAAATGAGTAACAGAAACCTTGATTAATTTCTCTTCTTCTCTGTACACTTTCTCTATGCCGACTGCAGACGGAAAGGACCAAGCTTAAAAAATGATTGACAGGAGCTAAGATGGAGGGGCCCGCTTGCAGAATAAAGAGGGGTAGATTTCTACATACAAGTTTAATTTTTAGCATCTCACAAATGCACGCATGTTAAATATAACGGATAGGTAAACAGAATTTTAAAAAGCCCTAGGGAGTAACCGTTCACTCTTAAATAGTACAGGGCCTCTTCTAAAAAAAAAATTGGGGGCGGAGTGAGGGGTGCTGTAGATAAAAAGATTGACAGTTAGATGTCAGTCACAGAGAGATACATCCTGCAAAGATTTGGGAGTTCTCATTAGCTGGGCAAGATGATATGATGAAGCAGTGACATGCTTTGTATGCCAATTGAAGAAAGGAAAGTGACAGAGGATGCATAGAATACATGGAGTTAATAGTGTGTGCAGTTCATCTAGCTAGAGAAAGCTTGACAGTCTGAATTTTCTGACCTGGAGCTGTCTTCCCCTATTCCAGTACTGTCACAGTTGGGGGATCTGGCTGTGTTCCAGCCCTGGCCCCCATATAGGGGTTTATTACACAATAGGCTGTTGTTCCCCTCCTCTGCACACAGGACAGTGACATTCAGAAAAAGACAAGGCCACATTAAGAGAAGGAGATAAGGAAATGTGACCACTTGTTTCCTCTTCTTGTCTATCCAGCCTGCTGCTTGCATGCACTGTCTTGTCTGAATTTTCCATTCTTCTTTTTTTTTTTTTTTCTTCTCTCCTCTTTTGAGTTCACTGGAAACTATTTAGAATTTTGTCTGTGCTACTTCAGGGCATGTTACGCACTGCAAATAAGGAGTCATCATGCTAACCTACTAAGATGGGTTAGGAATAGAATCCTTCTCTAAGTCTGTACATTCAAACCATCTTACCTGCTTGGAACCTCGCATGGTACGGTGCGTGGCAGTTTGTAACTGGTGCAGGACTCAGGTTGTTTACTTGAGGTTCCATAAAAATGGCTTAAGACTGAACCGCTGAGTTGTTTTGCTTAAAAGAACACCATAAGCATTGCTGTTTCAAACATTGTAGCATTTTCTTAAGATGTAGAAATTAACAGGAACATTCCTTTAGATATGATACAATGACCATGAAGACTAAGCAACAATTTTCTGTTCATTTGTAACGAATAACATAATTTGCAAAGTATCTTTTGATATATTAGCATATCAGAGATTCAGTGTGCACGTAGGTATTCTATGATTACAAATATTCTCATTCTGCATGGGGAAGTAGTTTAAAAAAAAAAAAAATAATAATATATATATATATATATTTTTTTTTTTTTTGCATTGCATTGCATTGCATTGCAAATTCTTGGCGCAAAGGCCAGATGTCTGAAAATGTAAGGATTTGGAACATATATGTTTGTTTATTTGGTAAGCAAACTCACACCTGTCTTTTGTAATCACAGGAAGTACCACACCCACCTGCTACAGTTTGATGGTGAAGGAGGCTGGAAATTTGAGAAGCTGGACACCGCGGCCCGGCTCTCGTTAACAGAGGAGAAGCAACGGCTGGAACAGCAACTAGCTGGCGTGCCCAAGATGCAGCTGCGACTCAGTGAACTCTGTCAGATCCTGGGAGAGGACTCAGAAGTGGGGACTACGGATGGGAATACTGACTCGTAAAAGTCTGTGTAAGAGAATTGCCACTTTGTGCCACAACACTTTGACCACGTTTAAAACCAGAGACGTGGCACCAGGTTTCCACTGGTTTGCCACAACTTTTGTTTTTTGGGTTAAAATAATTTCCAAGGGCCCTTGTAGTGGATTTACGCCACTCAGTTCAACGACATCAATAATTCCATTGCTCGGTTAGAATGGCCTGCGATACACTGCAGAGAAATATATTACAGATCCTTCTGGCTGTGCAGGAGTTAACATGCACTTTGTGTCACTAGGCTTCCATCCCAACCCATGTGACTAGCTCTCCACTCTGAATGTGTTCTTGGAAGCATAAGACCTTTCCTCTTATTGTTAGATGAAATATCTACGGTTTTAACCCAGCAGAAAGTGTGAAGAGGACGGTTTTGTGTGCTAATTAGTGTATTGGTCTGCGAGACCCCTCTTTCACAGGCACATACTTACTCCCCTAATATGTGCATTAGTTCAATGTGAAAGGATTTTTTGTTTGTTTTTGTTTGCGGCACGGACTAGCAAAATTGAACACCTTGCATGCCAGGATGTAGGCAGCATCCAGCTCACCCTGCTTTGCACACAATCGGTTAATTCCATATAACCTCTACTAGCCATGTATGATGTGGCATGTATGCCCCAAATATTCTTAAGGAATTCCTTGCAAATTAAAATGCATGGAGCAGACTTAATCGATGCATTGAATACCTTCCAGAAGTCACAGGGTTACTTTTCCTTCCGAAGAATAGCGGGGTCAAGAGTCGCCCTTTGTGGTCGTAGGCAATTCTTCTTGTAGGCGATCTATTTATATAGTATAAAGTGCAGTTAAAGCCCATTCAGAAAAAGGCAATTTGTATTATAATTTGTAGCACAAATGAAGGAGGCATCCCCTGTTGTTATCTGACTACAAACATGGGTGGCATTTCCATAACATACATTTTCTCAGGTATCCTGCCTCAAGCCTTTTCTTTTTTTTTCTTTTTTTAAAATGTTATTCTGTAATTGGAGATTGAAATCAATATCTTATGCCTTTTTCATACAGTCACGTATCCCACATTTTCTGATCTGTCTGGTCATGTCAAAAAAGAATCAAGAGTTAAGAGATGTCCCTACACACTTTGTGACTTTATTCCAAGTGTCTCAGTCACTGATAAATTATATGCAGGAGAATTGCTCTGAGTAAACTGTACATTTGGGGTAGTTAAAGGTATGGCCTTGCGGACATTAGGGCCAATTGTTAAGGCGGTCATCCCAAAACGAGGATTTTGTAAATGCAGAAAGCAAGTTGTGTGTACATAGGAATGCTGGCTTGCCTTGATTTTGTGGATCTCATACGAATGTACTATACAGAGGGTCTTAGAATAAAAGTATTGTCAGTAAAATGTAGCCATTAATGTGCTGCAGGATTAAAAATGGCTTAATCACAACAGGGATCCTGATGCTGTGATAAGTTAATTGCTTTCACTCCTGCTGCATGTGAATGCTACATACTTAAAGTATTTTTCTTACATAGCGCAAAGCGTTTATATGCACCCGTGAAAACATGGCAATCTAGCAGCCCTGTGAGTACAATGCCTGACTCTGCTAATCTTGCGGGATATTTAAAGAATAATTTGCAGTGGTGACACATAAATTCAGTGACACTAGATGGATTGTTCATTCAGCAGTGAATTGCACTGAGTTGGCAATTGACCTGCAAAATTCAGGCCATATTGGAGGTTGTTTTTTAACTACTAATTTCATCTTATTTTTTACTTTTGAGCACAGACCCCCTAAGTTGTTTTAGTGTCTGTTAAGTAAGACCCAGTCATTCAACTCACTTTCATATGTCACTTAATATAAATATATATATATGTTCACCAGCACATGACGTCCTGTCCAGTCCAATGAAAGAAGCCCCATACTCTGCAGTTTGACTCATTACCCTTGCTACTAAATCTTCCAGTTTTGCTGCAGTCAGTTGATTTTGAGCTGTGAGTTTCTAATCACACCACCCTCCCATGTGTGCCTAAATGGTCATCCAGCTCTCATTTTCTGTCTATAGCTTTCTGAAACTTCCCCAAATTTATTTGCAGCCCTTCTAAAGTCATGATTAACAGCTTCGTTTTAAAGTGACACAAAATCCAATCTGATGACTTGACACACGTTTTCATACTTTTTGAAAACATATGCTTATTTCAAAGGGGGAATAGAATCCATTTACCAAGTGTTCTAAGCATGGCATTCTACGAATATGTTAAAGGCACTTAGTCATGCATAACATGACCAAGTTCCCGTTTTACTCTGCCACAATTGTGGCTAAAATAGTTTACCCATGTCTGATTAGGTATGCACATTTTATTTTTAACAACTCTTAATCTATTACAATATCAATACCAAGTTATATATTATACCAGATCAAAATGGGATTCTGTTATCTTAGAAAGTACGCCCATCTCAAATTATAGTGAACAGTATTTTGTGTCTGATGCACTGAATCTTGTTTCAATCGCTAGTCCTTGGGCTCCTCTGGCCAGTGTGAATGCCACCCCCCTCCCAAAATCATTGACTTTTTAATTTTTTTTTCTCCTTTCCCGATTATTTATCTACATTATGTAAATGTTACTCATAGGGACATTATAAAGCAGTGCATGCTAGGAGAGAGACACATTGCTGTTTAACTGGAATGTAAGTGTTCATCACAGTGGGAATCAATACATTGTACTAATCACCTAACTAAATTGTGATTGACATTTTCCAGACAATTAGTCTGGCTGTGTTCCACCTAGTGCCCACTTCTGGTCTGTATGGTGGGAGAGAAAATAACTTGCTGTGTCTTCCTTCTATAAACCCATCAGTAACTGGCTCTGTCTTTGCTGTTCTCCTGTGTCAGATGAGAATTGACAGCAGATTTCTCTAATTTTTCATCAGGGGCACTCAGGCTGGCTACCTGGTTGGCAGGCAGAGAGGTAGGAGTGGGTGGAAGATAGATTCAGGAGACATATAATAAATCTCAAACTGTGCAATAATTATTAATTAGAGCGATTACACCTGAATTTTGCAGGTAGCTTTGTAGCCACTTTGTGACGGGGTCTTTTAGGCAATGAGAGTATATTCCACACTAGAACTGAATGTACACTACAAAATGGCTAGTGGCAAGTTCAAATTGAGAGATTGGTGTCATTGTTAGACTTGACAGACACTTGAATGTAAATTTTGCATAGACAAGTGTCACTTTATTGCTTTTGTTATTTTTGAAGGGGGATTATTTGGTAAATTTCTGGAACCTCTTTTTCAGTACGGGTTAATCTTTCCTTGCAATCTGCATTATGGACATTAATATCAGTTGCATATCACTAAATGGGAGCTCACCATGGATTGGGAGATGGGGGAGGGTTCCGGAATATTAAAAATATAAACGTCCAAGACCATCGCGAGGTATTTATTCACGATGAAATGTAGACTAACGTAGCCAAGCAAGGATTTTTGTTAGAGATTTTTTTCAGCACTTTTTGCCAACATTTTGCATTTCCTGGATGGACCTAGTATATACCCCACATGAGACAGAAGGAAAGTGTTAAAAGAAGCTCTGGAAACTCCCTTTGCTACTGCTTTGCCACACAAAAGTCTGTACAATTTGGTACTATTTTCTTGGATAGGCAATACAAAGTGCATACTAATATGCATGTAGACAGGTGTAATTCCCACTCCCAGAGATCAGGATCAAACATTAAAGGACACTATGGTCACCAAAACAACTATAGCTTAATGAAGCAGTTTTAGTGTATAGATAATAACCCTGCAGTTCCACTGCTCAATTCACTGCCCTTTAGGAGTTAAATCACTTTGTTTATACACCTCCCTACATGTGACCTACGCCTCCTTCCCAAACACTTCCTATAAAGAGTCATCTAATGTTTACACTTTTACACCTTTATTACAAATGTTTAATTGAGAATTTCTTATCTCCTGCTCTGTTATTAGCTTGCTAGACCCTGCGGTGGCCTCCTGTGTGTGATTGCAGTTCAATTTACAGAGCAGGAGATAAAAACTTTTAAAATAAGTTACATCTGATTGAAAAATAAATAATTTTGATTCCTTGCAGCCTGTGTCAATCACAGCCAGGGGAGGTGTGGTTAGGGCTGCATGAACAGAAACAAAGGTGATTTAACTCCTTAATGGTAGATAATTTAGCCAGTAATTAAGCTAAAGTTGTTTTGGTGACAATAGTTTCCCTTTAAGTATGATATGTAATGTGTCAAACCAATGGCCATTTCACTACTACAATAGAGATTACATTTTATAATTTACCTGAGCTTTACTAAACACATATAGTGGATAACATGTCCACTTTTAAACTCTCTCTTGAGCGTCAGAATGTTTCAGGTCATTGTGTACCTATGTATTTACCTTTATTTGAACGCGGGCAGGGACGTAGCGAGAGTACACTTTACATATGTGTGGGTGGTGTTCTCTCACTTGATGTACCATTAACTCGGTGTTCTATAATGGATTTGTTTTGCACTTAATGTAGAAGGTATTTTAGAAGCACTCATCTGGAGCTGATATTATCTTTAAACATACCCCTCGTCGCTTTCTGAAGTGGAAGTCAAATAGGAAACTTAAATCCAGCAACTAATTAACCTTTTAAATGCCAAAATGACACACCTTATGTATTACTTAACCTCGAGAGATAATCAGTGTGGGGGACCATTAATTGATAGAACAGACTATGCTGTGGAAACCTTTAGACACTTTATAATAAGGCATTTACACTTACATTTCCTTTGTCACGCTAACATATTTCCCAACATGCACTTGACCTTGCCATTTCCTGAATTTGTTGTTGCATTATTTTAATAATTTGAGCAGAAATGAGGAGGCTTAGTTGTGTTTTTAAAATTTTCATAGCACAGTGTGTTCACAGCAGGTATGTTTAAAATGTATTGTTTAAAATAGCTTAAATCAGGTGAACGCTTCCAAAAATGATAACCTGTGTTGAACGCCCTCCCAATTATTTCCCTATGACATCTAGGTTAAGCATTGAGCCTATGCAGGCACCTGTTGCTGCTTAGCACGGGCACCCACTATACCGGCACCAGAAGTAAATCGAGATCTATACAGTTAGTTGTTAGTTTTTAGGTTTTAATCCTTGGCAATAATATTGTGTGACTGTCGCTTTAATTTAATGGTTCTTAACCAGTTTTGATAGGAACCCACCTGGCATTAGCTTTGTGACTCACCCTTTCACTTTAAACTTATCTCCGCAACCAACTCTTTGCCTATAATGTGATTTACAACTAAATTAATTCTACAAAACGCCTTTTTTAGCCTCTTCCCAGTGTCAGTGCACTTAGCTAGACTGTGTTGCCACAGTAAACCATTTATTGTAGACACTTTCCTGGGTCCTTATTAAATAATGTGCCTGACCCAGCCATTCAAATCATGTACCTAGGGACTCAGCCAAGGGGTTGAGAACCACTGCTTTAACGACGGGTCTTGTGAGCACCTCCCAACATTCTATTCTTACAACCGTTTGATATTCAAATAAGTTACACTGCTATATTGTATCCTACAGTTAGTATGTTTTTGGAAGTTATTGACTGAATAGCTGAAACGTGCACAGCCCTAATCTGAGAAAGAGTTAAACCTCTTTAATTTTGCAGTATGATGATCAGAGTGTAATTACCTTTCTAAGACTAGTAGCCGCACAGAATCGGGTTACTCAGAGTGGTAATACACACTACCCTTTGTTTTGTTGTTTTGTTTTTTTATTTCCCTTCTGTTTGTGAACTCAGAGCCTCCAATTACACCCATGGGGTAGATACAGGCGTGTCTCCAAAAAGGAAGTTCTTATCCTAGTCACATGCTGTTCCCCTTGGATATTGTTGTAGAAAGCTGTGAGCTGGATTTTAGAAACTGGTTTTATACAAGTAAGACTTTAGGTTCAATTCCACCTGACTTACATTTACAATTACAGAAACCAAAAAAAAAACGGGCTTGAGACAATTGGTCATGATTAGCATCTTTTGAGCCACAAAACATTTCAATTATTTGAGTTATTTTGTCAGTTGCCTGGTAGGAATCACAAGCATGCGTGCTACACGTGAAGTGAAAGAGGTCCCTTTTTAAAACAATCTGTGTGTGTGAAGCGAATGATAAGGGTCCTGCTGCTTTTTGGCAGGTTTATGCTTTGTAATATAGAACATTTATTTTGAAAATTCTAAGGACCTAAAACTATGTTCAATATTCCATCACACATGGACCAATCGGTTTCTGTGCCAATGAACATCTCACCATGAACCTTTTCCAACAAAAACCAGAGGCTGTTAAAAGCTTATACGAGATTTGTATACCGCCAACCATTGATCCTGTCTGTTCAGCACGTGGCTATTCATGTACTTCCGCTCCCATGATCCTCCACTACCTGCGCCATACCTAGTAGTAGAGCATCATTGAAGTTTGTACGCCCAGGCCATAGATTTTCAGAATGTTAATATTTACACAGTGCTGGAAATAAAATCACATCAGAGATTCTTAAATTTGGGAATATTGTACTTAGGCATACATAAATTTAATGTGAACATTTCTATTTTTATTTTTTTTTATTTTTTTTAAACCGATCATTTCACACTTCCAGGCCAGTACATAAACGGAGTCAAATACACCCACAAACCAGGCTATTGACTCGTAAATCTTGTGTTTGTATGATCTTTACCATACCCATGTTATTACCATGCCCATAGCTTATTTGCATATAGCTTGTATAAATTAAAGAGTAAAGTTAATGATCTAATGTAGCTTACTTTTTAGAATGTCTATTTAATTATCCTGATATATGCTGGCACTTTAACCTGTCAATCTTAGGGAATATAGGCATTTCAATTTATCTAATATTAGCCAGAGTATCTATTTTTGTTTAATTTAATTTTAAATTTTTTATTACATAGTTTACAGAAATAAGAGATATATAAAATACCAAAACTGTAGAAATGTAGCACAAATGACAACAATAAGTGGATTTTTTTTTGTTTTGTTTTTTTAAACCAGTAAGAGATGTCCCTACCCCAGTTAGGTTCATAGGCCAGTAAAGTATGTCGTGGAGGATGTCGCACAATTCTGACATTAAGAATCTGTCAGTTTTGTATGATTCCTCATTTAGGGCTTTATTTGTAACTAGACTTGTGTAAAAAATCCCTTTCAGCTATATGATTAAATCAAATGCCTGTTAATTAATGAACGAACAAAACTATTAATTTTGATTTGCCTTAACGAATCGATTCATTCGTCCATCGATTTACAGGCGTTCGATTTGTTCAACAGCTGAAAGAGATTGGTGCACAACTCTAGTTAGAACCCAAAAAGGGATAGTGAACTAGTCTCAGACTTATAGGAAATGTCCCCCCGTTTTAAAGGGGGGGAGGAGGGAATAGAATACACTTTATAGTATTATGTAATTCCAAATTAATAACAATGAATTATAGTAACGAAGTGAAATATTGCGCGATATGAGCAGGCAACTTACTCAACTAACATTTTTTATTCACTAAACCAGTAATTGTGGATTCATGACAAGGAAGCTGCAACATTTAGGCCAAAAGTATCAACAATGAAATGGAGCTCAAGTGGAGAATGTTTTCAATGTGGCTATTTAAACCCTTGCCTGTTCTCCTCATTTCCTGGTCTAGTATCTATATCCATGCATATTGTGGTGAGATAGAAGCTGACTTGCAAATTGTAGGCAAACATTGCTGACTTGAAGAAAGAATTCTGCTAGTCCTGATGACTGTGAATTTTTTTATTTATTTTTTTCTAAACTCTGTTTTATCAATTTGCAAGTTTCTCTTCTCATCACAGCTCACTATTGAATATAGACCTTAAAGTTAAATGATCACAATTCTCAGTGACCAATGCAGATATCCCCCTAACTTATGACATTTTTCTCTTTAATAGGGACGTAGGTGTGCCTATAAGTATTGAACATTATTTCTGATTTCTAATAATAAAAACAATTTTGCCTACAAGAAAAACTATTTTGAGATATATAGAATTATGCTGTAGTCCAGATTTTGTGCTACAGGTGTGGTGTTTAATGTGTATAAATATTGTAGCAGGACGGTTGAAAAGGCTAAAAGGACTTGTATTGAGTTAATATTTTCTAGGTACCCTGGGTTGCCATAAATAAGTTTAGGAATGATGTATTCTATTATACTGGGCTTAAGTCCTAGCCAGTAGTATATGCGGCGCTTATAATGTGTAATCTTACGCTACTAGCCAGACTTTAAAAGTTACTTGCTAGTACAAACTATAGCATAGTCTCTGGAGGTGCATTTATACCTACCAAGGCTGATTTTTCACTTTCATATGGCTAGTGGCAAGTGTGAATTTTGATCTCTGGTGTATACGTTCATATGCTGCAGGTGTGAAATCAATGAATTTACCACTCTGGTTTCTTGGGTATCTTGGCTGTTATTAATTAATTAATGAAATAATGAATTGATTGATTATAGTTTGGGAATACTTCCAAAGTCAGAAATCGCATATGTTGTTCCCAGCTTATTTTCAAGACTTTATAGAGTTTTTGCTCTTTGACTGACTGTCAGATGAGAGTTTTCATAATAGGACTGTTTCCATGCCTACGATGCCCGAATGTGGGGTGCATTTCCTTAAACATCCATTTTCTGATCTCCTAAACCTTTTAAGATTCATGTACCTCTGCAATCTACGGGTAACATGTGACATCCTTAACAAACTGTTAGTAGGTACTGCCAGTATGTGCAAGTGTTTATGGGAAGGAACTGAGCAGTCTTCTTCAATGCCTGCCATGTGATATATTCAGACTTTATTTTTCATTTGTATGAAATTGCATGATGTGCCATATCAAGTAAGTTCACATCAAACTCTTGAGCACTTACTATCATTTAAAAAAACCACTAAGAAATTTTAATAATTGTTTATAGCTGTTGAACTAATTTAACATATGATATAAATATAGAGATATGCAAAAAGTGTAGACCCGGGATCAGGCAACCTTTTGGCACTCCAGCTGCTGTGGACTATATCTCGCCTGAATGCTTTGCCAGCATTTTGGCTGTAAGTGCATTATGGGAGATATAGTCCACCACATCTGGAGTACCGAAGGTTTCGTATCTCTGGTGTAGACCATCATCTTTGACCTTTTTTAGTTTGGGGAGATCTAATAATTTTGCCCTTTAGGAGTTGAATATCTCATTTAGCAAATGGGGTCTTTGAGGATGCATAGGGGTACTTAACTCTGTCTTTTATCAGAGAGCCATTGTCTGCGGTCACTTTTTTTACTTAAAAATCTACCAGTATAGCCAACCATTAATTCTCTAGGCAGTTCATTCATCAAACAATGGCTTGTACTTGCCGACTGACTCAGCTGAGTTTAAGATATTCGTCAATCTGCTGTGTTTTAAAACGGCTTCCATGATGCTTTGTCACTCTAAAGGCATGCAAACCATAATCATGTGAGTTGTAGTTGTACAATATCTGGGGATCTAACTTTTGGGCAACCCTGGTTTACATTTTGTAAATCTATCAATTTTCCAGCTCGCTGTTTAACACAGGGCTGGTCATCAGTTCTACAGATATGGCTGCATTGTATCTCCCATGATGCTTTGGTGCTTAAAACCAAAACTGTTGGCTAACAATTCCATGTTTGACTGACTTGAGCAATCATCATGGGAAATGAAGTCCCACTGCTGAAGATCTCTACATTAGCCTCCCCTACCTAGAAGGCCAACGATCAGTCTCCAGCGTTCACTGCTTGTTCTAACAAACTATGCAATGTTATTGTCGTCTGTTGTGTAACAATTCTTGAAATGTGCCTTAATTGTTAGACCAAATGTCTTTTCTTGCTTACAAATAAATATATAAATTTCCAAATTAAAACGGTTTTGTCTAAATTATGAACACTAATGTCAAAATAATATATTCTTGACACAAGGCATACGGTAGGGACAGCAACACTTCGTAATTTGTTGCCATTACTTATCTCATGCACACATTGTACTGAACTGCAAAATATGTTTCTGTGTTATTATTAACGTCATTTAATAATTCTAACTTTTTTTTTTTTTTAAGTTTTAACCCTGAGACACTCTAAAATAGGACCCTTTAATAGACCATTAGGAAGATTCTTTGTGGTCCAATCATGCATTCTAGCTTTCAACATTTAATATCAAAATAAAGTTTGCAAAACACCTGCATTAACTTTTTTTAAATTTCTGAAGTTGATTCCTCTGCAATGGATAAAGCGATTGCCTCTTTACCAACACCCCTTCACTAGAGAAAAATACTTTATCAAATGTATGTACACAGCTCAGCCACTGACAACACTGAATGGTCTGAACTACAAAGTAAGAGAGGACACCCAGGAAGACACATACAAGGTTATTCACTAAAGTGAGAATTCAAGGTGAATGCAAAGTGGATTTCAATTGTAAGGTTAAACCAGCCAAACTGGATAAATTCCCTAAGTCAGAAAATGTAGCTACTTCACTTTGAGCATTCACTTTGAATTCTCACTATAGTAAATGGCCATCATAATAAAAATATCACTACCTGTCTGCAGCCAGGTTGTCAATGAAAAGCAGCTCACTCCATGCTGGTGGAGCTGAGCTGTGTACATACACTGATAAGGAAGTCTTTCTGGCAGCATGAGGGGGCGTGGCTAAGAATGAAGACGTCTGACGCATTATGTTTGGCTATATTTATTTTATCTGCACATCTATGAAGATTTGAATATGCAAAAAAACAAAACAAAAAAAATCCTCTTATTAAGTCCTCTTATTAGTCTGCCTAGGGTCTTCCTAAATTAAAAAGTGAATCCAGATGTGGACCCTATGTGCGATTTCGACCTACCTTATAACAGGCCAAGCTTCACAAGGTTTTCAGTTTTCTCATATCTCCTGTATGAATTTTATAAAAGGAGATATCCGCTCAGAGAGTCATTATTATAAATGGTACAATACAGAGGTGGTCGTTCACACATATTACGTTATTATATGGTCAGTGTAGGCACCATAATTATGGTAAGTAGTAACCACTGTTGTGGTTATGGTGCCTATATGCTGTCCTTGCAAAGAGTTTATATTCCAATATGAAGGATACAGTCCAATATTTTCCAGTATGGTGAGTGTCAATGTCTTCTCCACCTTGAATTGTTCCTGAACAGCTTTCTGGAGAAGAATTTTCTTCCTCACCTCCCACTGAATCAGTTGCTGTGCATGACATCAAGATTCAAAGCTGGATTCACTTTAATTTGCATTGAACTGCAATACTTCCACTTCATTTGAACATGTTGGATACGCCAATTGCTTCTTACGTATAGTTTCCACCATGAAATCTATTGAAATCAGCACTTTTCGCAAAATGAAAAAAACGAGGACCCACTCTTCACACAAAACGTTTTTAGCAAACCAACGTGCTTTAGGGGTCTGGAGTCTTTTTAGTTAGGGCATCATCTGTCCTTAAATGGGAGCAATTTGAGCACCTTCTAGCTCTAGGACTAATAGGAGTAGGCTAATAGGAATTTGGCAACTTCATAGCCCTACATTTTTTTGTTCTATAAAGAATGGGCACCTACTTGGTATGGGGGCCTGGTAACTCCATATCCCTAATAATATTACCCTCATCCCAACCACCCAGGGGTTGGAGTAAAGGATAAGGGCCATTTGTCTGCCCCTACCTGGTTACGTCTGTTTTCCATCCATTGTAGTGGACTAAGAGGCAAGTTGCTGGGGCTCCCATATTTAACATGGGGGCTATCAAAGCTAATTCATTTTAATTTTCTTTTTTCTAGTATAGAATATCTGAGAAAACCAGTCTTCTTTCTCACAGAGCTTAGCATGTATGTTTTATGAATCTGTTAACACCCCAGAAGAGAGCAGTACCATGACACTAATTTGAGTTGTTGTCGTATAGCTAGAGATACTTTATGCCTGATATCATCAATATGCAGAGCATATAAACTAAATAGGTTTTTATTCATACTTATTAAGCTGCAATGCCATCTAGTAACTAGTGGTGTTGTGGTTTCTATGGTTACTGATTATTATTGGTATTTATATAGCGCCAGCCTATACCACAGCGCTGTACAATAAAAGGGGCATTTACCAAATGAGACAATAACAAAATGTAACAGGAACGATAGGTAGTTGGGGACCCTGCTCAAACGAGCTTACAGTCTGAAGCTATGCTACTAAACCGTTGTGGTAATAACATTATACAGTAATATACTTAGAAAGTAGTTTGTGTACCTTTGTATCATACTAAATGACTTGCCTATAACACAAATGACCATGGTCAGTCCCATTTCCTGTCACACCTATACCCAGAGAACATGTAATATGTGTTGCTCGGCGATGTGGAATGCTGGGAGGAATGTGTCCCTGTCTTACAGAGCCGTTGTTCTATCTGTGGAGGAGTAGCAGGAGTGCTAGCACGCATGTGCAGCACAGGAGACAGCTGATTCCCCTCCCCTGAAGTGACGTGGGTATAGCAATCTGACGGGGTATACCAAACTGATAGAACACCGTGTCTAGATACAGTTTCAATGGACGTATATAAAGGAACACTACAGCGTTTGGAAAATAAACCTGTATTCCTAACACTAACACTAGCGTATCCCAGACCCTATTTAGATCAGTGGAAACGCCATGTGTGTAATAAAAAGGAGTTTAATAAAGGTGTTTACTTACCTTCTCTAAAGCGCAGAGACTCCTCCATCGCTGCTACTGCCACTTCGCCTCCCACGACTTCATCGCAGAGGTGTCTCATCCCAGGCGTTCGTTCCACAACAAGGAGCATTTCAGTATAATGCATATGCATCATGAGCGATATGCGTGCATCCAATCCAGTGTTTCTCAAATAAAGCACTGAATTCAATGCCTTCCCATGTGCTGCATATGTGAAACTCGGTTGTTGCAGCGGGCCACTAGAGGTTTGTTTAATCTTGCATTATAATAAATTTTTACGTTGCAGGGGTAAATCTAAAGGAACACATTGAGAGGAAGCGTATTGGTGCCTTTAGTGGCCCTCTAATATGCTTGTGTTATGTAAATGTTGATGTGACGAGTATTTGATGCAATATACATGTTTGCATGTATGTGTGCAATAATATACATATCTGTGATGCATGTGTATTGTGTCATAACCGTACTGTATACAGGAGGAGCAATTCCTTGACATTCAGCATTACGATATATTGGGTACCACTTATCAAGAAGGGTTATATAACTTTGTTTATGGGCTAGTGAGGTCTATGACCAAGCCCAGAGTGGCTGGCAGGACAAAGAGTTTGTGTATGCGGGTCAGTGTGTATCTATATATGCATGTTGATATGTGTCAATGCATTGTTGTGGGTAAATAGGTGGCTAACTGAATTGTAGTATGTAGCAAGTAATGTATGTATATGAGTGACTAGTTATGTATGGTTGTATGTGTTTGTGTGAATGTCAGTGAAGGTGAATAGAGAGGCCCACAAACCGTTAGTGTGGCCCTGAGCCCACCCACCAGGTAGGACAAGGGTCTCCAAACCCTAACCCAAAAGTAACCCTTCTCTAACATAGAAATGCAATGCTTTTCACAGCATTCCTTCTAACAAATATTGGGGGAGGAAGGGAGGGAAGGGCAGTCTAACCTAATAGTAAAATCTTGCAGAAATAAAGGCTGGCATAGAGTTGTAAATGATATTAATATTTTAATATTATGCTAGAGGTCAATTGTGGTGTGTTAAAACTAACGTGAGGTGAGGCCTGAAATAAAGAGGGCCCAGCTAAGAATAATGATTAAAGGGAGAATTGGGTGGGCAGCTAACATAAAGCAACAGCATACAATGGGAGGGGGTCCAGCTTAAATAGGCTGGGTAACCCCTCCCAAAACTACAGTCAACAGCTGTTATATAGTTAATACATTGTTAAACACAGATCTGCATACCAGTCAAGCCATAAGACCTGCTTTTCCCACAGAAATCTAAAATTTGCAGAGATGTTAGTACTGCAAAGGATTCTGGGTAGGCATATGTAAATTAGTTCAATAAAGAATCACATTTTTGCCTCGTTATTCCATTTTAAACATGGATTTCTTGGGGTTTACGTTTGCTGTATACAACAGCTTTGAAACACAAGTCCGGAAGAGACGCAAAGCCAGTGAATATATATATTCCACTTCTCTCCTTTCTTACTTGCGAAAGCATGACTTTCCTGAAGCTACACTCTGGTTGGTTTACCCTGGGGTTTCCAAGTCTCTTCAGAGATCTGTGCATTGCTGTTTTGAGCTGAAACTCTAACCCCTACCATAGCCACAACATGTTCTTTATTTCAAACTGTTTTCAAATTGTTTTTGAAAAACAAACCGGGGTCTCCTGGCAACATTTCTACTTCTGCTACAGCACAATTCTGCGTTAACTGTACAAATCATTATGTGACAGACTGCAATCATCGGGCTTAGTCGCTTCCTACCCAAATGTGGACATATTTGTAGGGAGAATGTAGAAGTTAATCATTAGGTATAAAAAGTATTGTGTGTTTTAATGCCAAATTTGAAAGGGGTCTGTGACGGAACGCTGGCACTCCGACTGAGTACCTCTGCCAGTTGATGCTCCTAGTGCTCGCTGAGGACTCCAAGCACTCCAACCGACACCATCAGCACTGCAGACCCCACTTCCAGCGATGTAACTGCGCCGGGGTCTCTGCTGTTTCCACCCACCCTAGACCCAAGGCCAGGATCCAGCTTCCAGTGGGTGAACCTCTCTTTCCCCAGAGAGCAGGAACAGGAACAAATCAAGCTATTGCAAGAGCTTCCTCTGGGGAGTAAGTGATTATAGCAATCCCCAGAGTGTAGGTATCCCTTTCCCCAAACATGAGCCAAGGCTTAATGCTGGAACAAGACTGATTTACTGGCACACAGAACTCACAATTTATGCAACACAAAACTCCTCCTCTGGGCCAGGCTAGATAATTGAGTTTCTACAATACACAAAGCTCAATTATCTGCTGGCCAGAAATAATACAGTTTCATAAAACACACAGGGACCCCAAAACATGCAATAACCCCATAAAAAGTATATCCTTGGAACCGGGGGATCTGGTTGAA